AAAAATAAAATATTTGAAATAAAAAAATATTAGTGGCTCTTTAAAACCAGGGAAATTTTTAAAATTGTAACTTTTGGCTCTTCCGCTTAAAAAGGTTGCCGATACCTGGTCTAGGGGGTAGAGGGGGCGGGGGTATTATTACAATGGCCTGGATACAACGCTAAATTTAGCGCATTATCTGGTGTAAATAATTCTTTACTGCAACGCCATTTTGTCTTCGTCATATCACCTATTTCAACCCTTAATTTTAGAATAGTTTTGTTAGAAACTTATAAGTATCCATCACGATACGATAGTCAAATCTGTATATTAAAAAACGTATACAGCTGTTTACAAATACCACAATCTGTGAAAGAGAACATACTTCAGCTGTTTTATTGATCGAAACTGACGTAACAATAATATCGACATACAAGCTGTTGTGTAACACTGAGGCCGTTTGTTTGGGGTAAAATTGGGTGGCTAAAACCACGCTGGGAATTCCCGATATCTAAACACCAATACGGCCCTTCTGGAAGATTCTATTCACAAACTGTAATATTTACTCCACCGGAAGACTTATTTAGTTCTAGTCGGCAACTTCTGTACGTCGTTTTGAAATAGTTGGTGTCGCACAGCCTAGGAAAATGTAAGTAAAACTGTTCAGTATTAAACAGCGGTGGTGTTTCGAATATACCATATGCTGATGTAAGAATGCAGGTAAGATGCGCTATACTAACGCAGAAGAGGCCCACTTCTGGTGTTTTGTGGTCCAATGGTGTTGTAGTTGGGGGTGTTATTCCACAGCTACCTGGGTCGGTGGTGGACTGGGCCATAGGGGCACTGTCAAGAATTATGGTGGGCTGTGGGCCGCCTGAAGGGTGTGGTAATATCTTTTTACCCGGGCCGATTGAACAGCCCAGTTAACCCCAGGTAGCATGGGTAGGCGTGTGTGGGGGGGGGGGGGGTGTTGGTGATGTTTTGACGTGTGCTGGGGGTGTGTAGTGTGTACCATAGATAGGAAGGATTTTCACAGCTTATGCAGTGACACAGACGCCAATACGTCATCAGTATGTAACATAGGTGAAACAGACGATATATATTCACATGTGACATATGGTAGGTATAGGTGTCTTCTTATAAAAGCTAGAGATGTCTCTACATGGTAGCTAAGGGTATTATATTACCTAACGGCAGCAAAACAAGCTAGCTAGAAATGTCACTTGCTGGCCAGAAGTGTCAGTCACAAATTCTAACTAAATGTCACAGTTTGTAGCTAATTCTATCACAACTTCTAGGTAGAGATGTCATCATAGTGTCAACTTATTGCGTCAGCTTTGCGTAAGTTCATAATTCATGCATAACATGGATTAAACAGACCAGTATAATGTGACGTCATAACTAATATTCTCTACGAGAAAAATGGCCCGTTGAGGAAGGGTACAACGGGCGCTAGGCTGATAGTGCTGTCTCTTTTCTCTAAACTCAAACCAACCCACCCCCCCCCACACACCACCCCCCACCCCACCCCCACCCCCCACCCCCCACCCCCCACCACACACCACCCCCACCCCTCACCCCCACACACCACCCCCTCCACACACCGCCCCCACCCCCCCCCCCCCCAAAAAAAAAACATGTCTACCGTCCCATTCAACGAAATATAATTATATACTTTTTCCAGTGTCCGCCCCCTCCCAGAAAATTCTACCCCCGCCCCCGAAAATTCAAGTACCCCCACCCCTCTCCGGGGAGGAAAAAGTCTGAAAGAAACACTGAAACCAACCCACCCCCCCACACACCACCCCCCACACACCACCCCCCCCACACACCACCCCCCACCCCCCACCCCCCCCCCCCCACACCACCCCCCCACCCCTCCACCACCCCCCACCCCCAAAAAAAACATGTCTACCGTCCCATTCAACGAAATATAATTATATACTTTTTCCAGTGTCCGCCCCCTCCCAGAAAATTCTACCCCCGCCCCCGAAAATTCAAGTACCCCCACCCCTCTCCGGGGAGGAAAAAGTCTGAAAGAAACACTGAAACCAACCCACCCCCCCCCCACACACCACCCCCCCACCCCCCCACCCCACACACCACCCCCCCAAACACACCCCCCCACCCCTCCACCCCCCCCCCCTCCCCCCAAAAAAAAAACATGTCTACCGTCCCATTGCAAGAAAACCACTTTTTAGATTAGACACATTAATTAGGCGGTAATTTTATTATAGAGTATCGATGAGGAAATTTCTTTTGAGTTGGGGAGGGGGGGGGGGGTCAGACGTTCTTAAGCGGGGGGTGGGGCTTCGCCCCTACCCGAAGAATTGTATGCAAGAAACTCTTTACGCAAACCATTTAGATTAGACAACATTTCCTTTTTATTCAATGTTTACGCGATAATCAATGACGTCATTATATTACTGTGTGCACTTTCCGCCTTGAGATTATTTTCAACTCTATGCTAAATGTGTCGACGTCATACTTCGTTTTTCGAAATACTGTGCATGTTTTTAATTTCCTTGTGTTTTCTCTAGAGCGTTCTTGTCAGACAGAGCGTTCTTGTCAGACAGAGCGTTCTTGTCAGACAGACAGCGAAACTATTATTATAGATACGGACTTGCAATATGTGGTATGTAATAAGTTGCAGTGTGTTGGGGGAGGGTGGATCGAGGGAGAAAGACGTGACACCAAAGTGAATAAATGAGATGTAAATTATCTATCTATCTATTCCTATATATAATATTATATATAAATATGAATAAATAAATAAATAAATAAATAAATAAATAAATAAATAAATAAATAAATAAATATATATATATATATATATATATATATATATATATATATGTAGTTGTTTAAGGTTGTTACTCAGCGGGTTACACAAAACCTAGCGACGCCGTTGTGTAACTGGCCAATGTTTCGCAGCTCTGTTGATGTTTATTCTAGCGCTATTTTTTGCCTTTCAGGAACTGAATTAAAACCAGCGCGACACCACACACATGTGTTGACCTAATTACTGCACGCGTCGGGTCATGCAGTGAGTATATACACATGAGTGCTCACTCTTACGTAATGCACACGTGACTGTGTGAGTAGTTGGACGTCCTGTGTGCTACCGTGATCCTGTGTACTGTCGTGATCTTGTGTACTGACGTGATCCTAAGTGCTGACGTGAACTTATGTACTGACGTGATCCTGTATACTGACGTGATCCTATGTGCTTGCGTGGTCCTTTGTTGCTAAGATATGGACGAGACCAAACTGAGGCAGATGGCAGTGATGGCGAGGGGAGACCAAGGTGTAGAAACTAATTTCTTTACTTCATTTACATATTGATTGAGTGCATCTTTATTGATTAGGTCACAAAGTCTACAAAGTCTTAGATACCGTTTGTAAACAGCGTTTGGCCTACTTTCATGTAGTGGATCGTAACCTGCTGAAATAAATATAAACAATGTCACGTGATTGCAGTACAATACTTATTTTTAAACAGATGACAAAGAGGTTGATCCCTTACATAACGCGTATAATATGGGACGGCGTGGCCTTGTGTTTGAACGATAGACTGCTTACCCGAAAGTTTCAAGTTCGAAACAGGGTAGAACATCCCTGAGTACACCCACCTCGGATTCACGTTAAGTAAAGTAAAGGCGACTGGGTATATCCTAGAAACAGTTAACTTTTATTTCCTATGGACTGTAAGGTTCGAAGAGGGAACATTACATTACTAGAGTGTATAGTAAAGTCCTTGATTTTGCTGGTCTGAAAAGGAGAGTACGCTAGTAAAGTTCCCTTTTCGAACCTGCCATTCTGGGGCTAGTGAAGTTCACCTGTTTCTGTGAACTCGGCATATGAAGGGAAAATGTGGTCAACACAATGCTTAGCAGGTTTTACTTTAACCTGGATTCGAACTCGAGATATTCAGGTTAGCAGTCTAGCGCTCTACCGTTAGGACACACCGTTCCTGATTACACTAGTGCTACGGATCCATATCCACACCCTGTGTTATGTTAGAATAAAATCTTGTCCTTCAGCTAAAATCAATCACCTTATTATTAAGTGGTTGGATACATAGTGGATAGTTGGATACATAGTGGATAGTTGGATACACAGTGGATAGTTGGATACATAGTGGATAGTTGGATGCATAGTGGATAGTTGGATACATAGTGGATAGTTGGATACATAGTGGATAGTTGGATACATAGTGGATAGTTGGATACATAGTGGATAGTTGGATACATAGTGGATAGTTGGATACATAGTGGATAGTTGGATACATAGTGGATAGTTGGATACATAGTGGATAGTTGGATACATAGTGGATAGTTGGATACATAGTGGATAGTTGGATACATAGTGGATAGTTGGATACATAGTGGATAGTTGGATACATAGTGGATAGTTGGATACATAGTGGATAGTTGGATACATAGTGGATAGTTGGATACATAGTGGTGCACTAGGCAGTTCGTTCAACTCCTCCACCCGTTTCTTTCTATCCCGTACCTGTCACGTATCCCCGGGGGAGGGGGTGTTCACCGACTTTAGTAACTCCCACCCCTCCTCGATATCCTCTTGTATGTACAGACACGTTACACCAGGTCTGAATGTTTTGTCTCCTCCCCCGTGCAGGCTACCATGAGACGGAAGTGACCATCAGTGGCGAGGCTGACCTTCACCGGGCGTTTGTATTTTGTGACAAGAACCCGGGCCACAAGAAATTTATTTCGGTCAAAAAATTCTCAGTCTCTGATCTCCCACAAGAATACCAGTAAGTCACACTGACACTCACACTGACATAGACACTGACATAGACACGGACAATGACATAGACAGTTACATAGACAGTGACATAGACACTGACATAGACACTGACATAGACACTGACACTGACAGACACAGACACTGACAGTGACCGTGTCATAGACACTGACACTGACACTGGTACCCTCTTACAGTAACTACGATTTCCAGGTGGATAATTCTGATATTTTAGATTTGATTCCAATACTGGCAGCTAGTGTTTCTTTCAGACATTTTTCACTCAGTTTGAGGGGGGGGGGGGCGGGGAGATTGTGGGTCGCACTTGAAATTTTCCAGGGGTTGGGGGCGGACACTGGTTAAAGTATATATTTTTACATAAAATATTTTATTTTTCTCTTTCGTCCGGTAGGGCGGTGGACGTGAGGAGCAGAGTTTCTTCCAGGCATCTCTTCGGAAGGGGGGGGGGCAACCCCCCACGAAGAAAGTCTACCGCCCCCCCCCCCCCCCACCGAATGAAATGGAATTTATATAGAAAATATATACTTTTGACAGTGTCCGGGCCCCCGCCCCCCCCCCCCCCCCGAAAATTTCAAAATTTCAAGTACAGCCCTGGAGAAAAAAGTCTGGAAGAAACACTGGTGAGGAGATGCCTGAAAGAAACTCTGCTAGCAACCGTTATTGTGTCATAACCGAATGATTAAAGTATTTAAAGGGAAAGCATTTTCAAATGTTACGGAAAACGAGATTGCTTATTCGGGCTTAATTTAAAGTCCTATAACTCCTGAACACAACGGAATGAAACAAAAGTTTGAGGACAAATTCTTCCGATCTGTATTTTTTTTTATTTTCCCAGAGACGAGGACATCGTGAAATACATTCTGGCTCAAGCTGAACTGACCGTTAGAATCCGGTCCACGTACACCAGCCCAGGCAGACCTGAAGGGTACGCCTTTCACCGCCATGCCGGTAAAGACTTACAGAGGTACGGCACCGGGTTCGTCCAGTACGTCTACAGAAATGACGTCAGATCCGGTAAACCCTGTCCTTGTCCCGAATGTAAAGCGTCGTCAGATCCACTGGAAGAATGGGCAAAGGTCAAGGTCAGGACGGCTACGCATGTCGTCTTCGATGACGACGAGGCCAGGAACTCCGTCGCGGAACTATTTTACGACGCGGAGGACGAGAAGGATAAGATAAAGAGCGTGTATGGAGACAACGTGCGGTTCGGTGCCCTGCAGGGAGACTGGTGCGACATGCGGTGTGTGACGCACGATATGGAGCTGGTGGAGCACCTGAAGGACACCTGGGGGAGGTGGCGGTGGCTGGAGACGAAAATAAACCAAAAATATTCCGACGATGATCAAGCGCGTCTAGCTGTGGTTGTGAGTTATTTTTTCTTTCTTTCTTCTTTATTGTGCGTTTAAGCGAATCATATTGTGCTCAACTTGGGAAAAAAAGTAGATTTAAATTTTTACTAAAAGTCATTGTGCAGTTAAATACCTTGTGATGTTTAAATGTCAAGGGCAAATGTCTATAAAGATGAGAGGGGGATGGGGGTTGCAGCATTACAGAAGATTCTTTAGACATATAGAGGTGGATGGTGGCTAAACAGAGAGGTAGCAAAGCCAAATAAAGATGGTACCACTAAACTTTGATGCTGGGGTTAAACTAGTTCCTTTTTCGAACGTGTCGGCTTATGGGCTAAGGGAAGTAGAGTTCACCTGTTTCTGTGACCTCGGCATATGAAGGTATAGTGTGGTCAGCTGCCTTTACTTTCCCTGAAGTGGGAAATTTAAATTACCCCACCCCAGAGGCGTAGCGACCCCTCCCGGCGCCCGGGGGACAAACTTTCAATTTGGCACCCCCCCCATATATTTTTTATATTTATAATTCAAAATAGCAGCTAAAATGAGCTTATTTTGGCGCCCCTAGGGTCGGCGCCCGAGGACATATGTACCCCTCCCCCCGTCGCTACGCCTCTGCCCCACCCCCAATAAACGTAAAGTATTCATTGATGCACGTGACCTTGTACTCACCCACAGGTCTCCCACCCGCACGGCTGCGACAAACAGGTCAGCGTCGGCACGTGGCGAGACCGGCAGGTGGTGGACAGGTCGCGTGAGTTCGAGAACTGCGTCTACACCTACGACACGCCCACCTGCCCGGGCAGCAGTGGCGCCCCCGTGTGGATACTGGGCAAGATGAAATGGGGCGGATTTTTCGGCCGGCACCCCCACAGCGGATGGACCGGGTCAGGGTTACAAACCCAGGGGTCGAATGTTATGGGGTTAAATGTCACAGGGTCAAGTGCCAGTAGGGTAAATGTCAGTGCGGTAGGGTGGGATAAACGGATTTAGTAAACAGACTGGTAAAATCACATCAAGATACCAACATCATCGTGTGTAGACCCGGAACATCAACCTTGATGAGAAGAACCGGTACCCAGAAGATGTTTTACAGCTGCGGAGTCACAAATCGGGGACAGGGGTGCGGGCCACACCAGGTGACACCAATTCGTAAAATTTACCGGCTTGACATTATTGTATCCCGACAACATAATTACCTAGGAATGAGGGGTAAGACCAAACCGAAGAAAAAAAACTAAATCTTGGAGAGGGTGGCGGTTAAACCCCCACTTACCGTACCGAGCGACACCCGGCCTTGTGACGCCACTGTTTGAAAGCTCTCGTCAGCCAGTTTTAGCCTTATCCTCCATCGATTCAGTCATTAACACAGACATAGCTATAATATGTTATATCGTGTGCCTATTCTGGGAACACTATTTGTCAAAAGTACTGACATTAAAAAGGCCTGATAAACATATGACATAAAATGGGCTTATTGCGTGTCATGGTTTTTAGCGCAATTTCCATTCTGGAGAATTGCGTTTATTAACTCGTCTTTTCTGGGAATGGATGAATGGATGGATGGATGTGTGTCCGCAGCTTTAAGTCGTATCTCCTCCTCAACGAAGCAATATCGAGGACTAGTTCCAAAAGCAAATATGTTAAGCAAGTTACCAGGATGAACATAGGCCAAAAAAATTCCGGGTTTCTTTCATGGATTTCCCGGAAAAGCCAAAAAACCTCGAAAAAATGCAGTTTTTTTTTGCCCATATCTAGGCAACCAGACCACTTAGCGACTTGAAACATGTACCAATCGATTCCTGCCATAATTTAGAACAATATTGCCGAAGAAAGTTTTCAAAAATATCCTTTCGTTCGGTCACAAATTTTTTTTTTAATTAATTAAAATTTGGACCGAATTAGTAGGCATTTTATCCAACTACACCACACGCGTCATCACGTTCAATAGCTGCGCCATCACGTTCAATGGCTGCGACATCACGTTTGGTAGCTAGGGGCGCAATGGTTTTTAGTCATGTTACTCTATTGTAAATAAAACATGTAAAATACTGAAATTTTTTTTAATAAAAAACGTTTTAATAACTAACCAATGGTTTTACTAACCCTGCTCTTGATTTACGCTACGACAGAGCTATTTTTAGATAACATAAGGAAATTGCGCTAAAATTGTCACTAGACTTTTTTAATTACTTGTTTGTTTAAAGCAACAACACCGTTGCTGCTACTCGTAAAAATGTTCAAGTTAGTAAAATTATGTGTATATGTTTGTGTATGTATATACGTAGTGTATGTTAGTGTGTTCAATTATGTGCATGTATGTACAAATATATTCTAATAAGTGTATACGTAGGTCTATAGGTTTATATTAGTGTATATATATATATATATATATATATATATATATATATATATATATATATATATATATATATATATATATATATATATATATATGTGTTACGGTCAAAGCCCGAAGTGCGGCCAAACCCCGGATTGGCCGGCCAATGCGCGCATTGGCCGGCTCTCTTGGCCAAAGCCCGAAGAACTTACAACTAAGATCGTATTTCGTACATTGGCCGGCCAATGCGCGCACTGGCCGGGACGTACTGGTCAAAGTCCGAAGTACTTAAACTTGACACCGTATTTTGTACATTGGCCGGCCAATGCGCGCATTGGCCGGGATGTCCTGGCCAATGTTGTATCTAGACTAAGTTGTGATCGCGTTTTAATTATTCTGGGTGCGGTTTCATTGTGAGTAACGTATTGTTTAGCTCTTGTTTGTATAGCATTCTATATGCAAGGCGACATGGATCAAAAGGGCCGTCAGACCAAGAGACAGACATAGCAGATGGCTGTCAAAGTAAAAAATGTAAATTCATGTTAGTTTCCATATATGGGCTACAACTGTATGTGACAGCCTCCTCCATGATGACGAGGTGAGACAATCATCAAAGAACAAAATCAAAGACAGTCGGCGTCACCCACCACGTGCAACAAGACGGAACGTTCAAAAGACTTTTCCGCGTTCCTAGATGTTTAAAACATGATGATGACATGGATGCAAACAAATGAATCAGCTCATTGGGCTGAGAGTCTCAAATTCATTTAATTTATGAAAAATCGTTCTTTTCATCAAGGAATCCAACAATCACCATACGAAGCCTTGTTTGGATGCAAAGCAAAAGTGGGACTTAGCACTTCAAATCTACCAAGAGAGGCTCTCAATAAAATAGTTACTGAGGAAGATCTTGAGAACATTGAACAAGAAATGGAGGTTGCCATAAATGCAACGACATCCTCAGCTAACACATCTGCTGCCGTGGCGGAACGTCCAGACCAGTTGCGTGACAATAATGTGGCCAATAGATTCTGTATAGTTTGTGAAAAACATTGTAGTGCAGCTCATTCTTGTGGATCCTGTGGCAACGATGTGCATGCTATTTGTGGAATACCCAATGAAGCAGACGAAGGGTACGGAGGGAACATTACCTGCAGATTGTGTCACAACAAACAAGACATCATGGAACACAGGTCAGCAGCTCATACTGGCTTGCAAAATCAAGGTGCTAAGATGCTTAAAACATCAAATACAAAATTTAAAGATGGTGAAGTGGGTGACAATGTAGGCATCCGTGTTCCAGATGTTGACAGAGGTCGCGGTGATCCCCGAAGCGTGATTGCAGTTGTCATGAGCGTCGAGGGCGGTTTCTACAAATTAGGAACGGAACATGGTGTTCTAAAACAACTGTATGCTAGAAGTGATTTTTCAATTCTTCACGAAAAACTGCTCTTATTGTCGTCAGTTGGCACTGAGGAAAAATAAATACGAACCATCGCATCTTCACAATCATTGACTGGGGGCCAAGGCTACACTCGTTGCAATTGCACAACTAAGTGCACAACAAATCGCTGCAAGTGTAAAAATAACAAGCTGCTATTTAATTCTAAACGCCATAAAAGTTCAACTTGTTGTAACAAATGATGATATTGATAGATTGAGACTATAGTACAATACAAAATTTGGATGTTTCTGTCATTTACTTTAATTAATAATCAATAAAGACTTTGGCCGGTCCACCATGGCCAGTCCGCGGACTGGCCGGCCAAAGGCCGAAATCAAGCAAAGTTTCGGACTTTGACCGACCTATGGGAGGCGATATTGGCCAATGCGCGGATTGGCCGGCCAATCCTAGGATTGGCCGACTTCGGGCTTTGACCGTAACATATATATATATATATATATATATATATATATATATATATATATATATATATATATATATATATATATATATATATATATATATATATATATATATATATATATATATATATATATATATATATATATATATATATATATATATATATATATATATATATATATATATATATATATATATATATATATATATATATATATATATATATATATATATATATATATATATATATATATATATATATGTATATGTATAAATAAAATTGTATATATATATACCAAACCTCGTTTATTTCATTGCGTTCAATAGTGTGTTTTCATTAATATCACGTGACTGCTATCAATGATTAAACTCTACACACATTTATTGGAAGTCTATACGTAGTTAACATGTGTGTAGTGCAGATGTGCAGAGTTTCTGCCAGGCAAGTGTACTCCCCCCCCCCCCCCCCCCCGAACGAGATGGAATTTATATAGTAAACATACACTTTTACTAGTGTCCGCCCCCTCTCCCCCCCCCCCCCCGAAAAATGTTGACCGCCCCCCACCCCCGAAAATATCGTGCCCCCCCCCTCCCCGGAGAAAACAGTAAAACAGTCTGGAAGAAAAAACTGCACATGTTTGTAGTCAGTATGTGTGTAGTACAGATGTGTGTATTCAGGATGTGTGTAGTGCAGATGTGTGTATTCAGGATGTGTGTAGTACAGATGTGTGTATTCAGGATGTGTGTATTCAGCATGTGTGTAGTGCAGATGTGTGTATTCAGGATGTGTGTAGTGCAGATGTGTGTCAGTATGTGTGTAGTGCAGATGTGTGTATTCAGGATGTGTGTAGTGCAGATGTGTGTATTCAGGATGTGTGTATTCAGGATGTGTGTAGTGCAGATGTGTGTATTCAGGATGTGTGTATTCAATATGTGTGTCAGGATGTGTGTAGTACAGATGTGTGTATTCAGGATGTGTGTAGTCAGTATGTGTGTATTCAGGATGTGTGTAGTGCAGATGTGTGTATTCAGGATGTGTGTATTCAGGATGTGTGTAGTGCAGATGTGTGTATTCAGGATGTGTGTAGTCAGTATGTGTGTATTCAGGATGTGTGTAGTATAGATGTGTGTATTCAGGATGTGTGTAGTACAGATGTGTGTATTCAGGATGTGTGTAGTCAGTATGTGTGTATTCAGGATGTGTGTAGTGCAGATGTGTGTATTCAGGATGTGTGTAGTGCAGATGTGTGTATTCAGGATGTGTGTAGTGCAGATGTGTGTAGTTCAGATGTGTGTATTCAGGATGTGTGTAGTGCAGATGTGTGTATTCAGGATGTGTGTAGTGCAGATGTGTGTAGTGCAGGATGTGTGTATTCAGTATGTGTGTAGTGCAGATGTGTGTAGTGCAGATGTGTGTATTCAGGATGTGTGTAGTGCAGATGTGTGTATTCAGGATGTGTGTAGTGCAGATGTGTGTATTCAGGATGTGTGTAGTCAGTATGTGTGTATTCAGGATGTGTGTAGTGCAGATGTGTGTATTCAGGATGTGTGTAGTGCAGATGTGTGTAGTGCAGATGTGTGTATTCAGGATGTGTGTAGTGCAGATGTGTGTAGTGCAGATGTGTGTATTCAGGATGTGTGTAGTCAGTATGTGTGTATTCAGGATGTGTGTAGTGCAGATGTGTGTATTCAGGATGTGTGTAGTGCAGATGTGTGTAGTGCAGATGTGTGTATTCAGGATGTGTGTAGTGCAGATGTGTGTATTCAGGATGTGTGTAGTGCAGATGTGTGTATTCAGGATGTGTGTAGTCAGTATGTGTGTATTCAGGATGTGTGTAGTGCAGATGTGTGTATTCAGGATGTGTGTAGTGCAGATGTGTGTAGTGCAGATGTGTGTATTCAGGATGTGTGTAGTCAGTATGTGTGTATTCAGGATGTGTGTAGTGCAGATGTGTGTATTCAGGATGTGTGTAGTGCAGATGTGTGTAGTGCAGATGTGTGTATTCAGGATGTGTGTAGTACAGATGTGTGTATTCAGGATGTGTGTAGTGCAGATGTGTGTATTCAGGATGTGTGTAGTGCAGATGTGTGTATTCAGGATGTGTGTAGTCAGTATGTGTGTCAGTATGTGTGTAGTGCAGTGCAGATGTGTGTATTCAGGATGTGTGTAGTGCAGATGTGTGTATTCAGGATGTGTGTAGTGCAGATGTGTGTAGTCAGTATGTGTGTAGTCAGTATGTGTATATTCAGGATGTGTGTAGTACAGATGTGTGTATTCAGGATGTGTGTAGTGCAGATGTGTGTATTCAGGATGTGTGTAGTGCAGATGTGTGTATTCAGGATGTGTGTAGTGCAGATGTGTGTATTCAGGATGTGTGTAGTCAGTATGTGTGTATTCAGGATGTGTGTAGTGCAGATGTGTGTATTCAGGATGTGTGTAGTACAGAAGTGTGTATTCAGGATGTGTGTATTCAGGATGTGTGTAGTGCAGATGTGTGTATTCAGGATTTGTGTATTCAGGATGTGTGTAGTGCAGATGTGTGTATTCAGGATGTGTGTAGTACAGATGTATGTAGTCAGTATGTGTGTCAGTATGTGTGTAGTGCAGTGCAGATGTGTGTATTTAGGATGTGTGTAGTGCAGTTGTGTGTATTCAGGATGTGTGTAGTGCAGATGTGTGTATTCAGTATGTGTGTAGTCAGTATGTGTGTATTCAGGATGTGTGAAGTGCAGATGTGTGTATTCAGGATGTGTGTAGTGCAGATGTGTGTAGTGCAGATGTGTGTATTCAAGATGTGTGTAGTATACATGTGTGTATTCAGGATGTGTGTAGTATACATGTGTGTAGTACAGATGTATGTAGTCAGTATGTGTGTCAGTATGTGTGTAGTGCAGTGCAGATGTGTGTATTTAGGATGTGTGTAGTGCAGTTGTGTGTATTCAGGATGTGTGTAGTGCAGATTTGTGTATTCAGGATGTGTGTAGTACAGATGTGTGTAGTCAGTATGTGTGTAGTGCAGATGTGTGTATTCAGGATGTGTGTAGTGCAGATGTGTGTAGTCAGTATGTGTGTAGTCAGTATGTGTGTATTCAGGATGTGTGAAGTGCAGATGTGTGTATTCAGGATGTGTGTAGTGCAGATGTGTGTAGTGCAGATGTGTGTATTCAGGATGTGTGTAGTGCAGATGTGTGTATTCAAGATGTGTGTAGTATACATGTGTGTATTCAGGATGTGTGTAGTATACATGTGTGTAGTATACATGTGTGTAGTACAGATGTGTGTATTCAGGATGTGTGTAGTGCAGATGTGTGTAGTGCAGATGTGTGTATTCAGGATGTGTGTAGTGCAGATGTGTGTATTCAGGATGTGTGTAGTACAGATGTGTGTAGTCAGTATGTGTGTAGTGCAGATGTGTGTATTCAGGATGTGTGTAGTACAGATGTGTGTATTCAGGGTGTGTGTAGTACAGATGTGTGTATTCAGGATGTGTGTAGTGCAGATGTGTGTATTCAGGATGTGTGTAGTGCAGATGTGTGTATTCAGGGCGTGTGTAGTATACATGTGTGTAGTATACATGTGTGTAGTATACATGTGTGTAGTATACATGTGTGTAGTACAGATTTGACTAGTCGGAATGTGTACAATGATAACAAAACAATGTGACTGATATAACAAACATCCAATGACACATCAACACGATACATCATGTGATCTCACCTACTTTGCATTTTCCTCGAAAATGGAATCATTCTAAGTACATCACAACACAGCTGGTTTCTCAGAATTGGTTGTGGTTTCAACTCACAGTGGAGGTAACGAAAGGTAAGCCCTTCATCATGTGTTGTATTTTAAAGAACTGAATCATTCCATTCTGTAAACCATTACCGGTTTAAACTCAATCAAACTCTGGTCTAATTAACGAGCTTGAATGGTGTACTGTTAAAGCATCAGTAAATAACACGGGTATTGTAATTTCTAAAACTAGCATCTTGCCTTGACGTTTAATTCAAAACGGGAAAACCCGAACTGTCCTGTGTTGTTTTCATCTAATAAATTTGTATTCAGGTGTAAACTTAAACAGTTTACTTGATTTAAAGATTTTAAAATATAGGCCTTGTAACTTTCTAAGCTTTTCTTAGGAAATACATGTAACCACTATATTGTATAATTTCTAGCTTCTTCAATATAAAAATCATCTTATAATATAGATCTAAACCGATGGTTCTTAACCTGGGTTCGATCAAACCCCAGGGGTTCGGTGAGTCAGTTTCAGGGGTTCGGCGGAGGTCAAGGCAAACACCCGACTCATACGATTCACGATCGGATTTTGTTAGTGAAGGTAGGGTTAGAACTATTAAGAAGGGCTCGGTGAGTGCGCTTATGAAACTGGTGGGGCTCGGTACTTCCGAACAGTTAAGTTACTTAGTTTCCGACCAGGGTTGGAACTCACTATGATAAAAACGTCGGACGGAAATTTGTTTGAAACAGCACAAAATAAAAACATTTATCGTTGGGATAATCAATGTCCAATAAACATCATTTTAAATTGAGTATCAGAAGACAACACGTAACTATCATTTTTATTTTTCAAGATGTGTGTATTTGTGCTAAACCTTTCTTGACTCACCTGGGACTAACCTGCGCCTCCCATGGTGGTGCGCCTTCAACTTCAAGTTCGGAAACTATTGTTTTAACGGTTCCGAGCGCAAACTGCGCAAACAGAAAAATGCTCAATTACAAATTAATTATACTAATATACTTTAATTTTGTCAAATTTCGTGGAAATATCTTTTATCATGCTACAGCGTACATGTAGTCACTCTTTGTTAACATCTATAAATGCTCGAGTTTAGAAAATGCAAATGCCATTGCGCACTTTTTTTTGCGCAATTTTTGGTTGCGAATCTTTCCGCTCATTGTTTTAACGTGTGTCATGTCCCCTACATCAAACACTTAAGTACGACGGTGTTGGTGATTTTTTTGTCTGTCAAGTCGAAAAAATCCCCATATATTAAACTTTAATTACCTTAATTAACAATTAACGGTTTCTCTACAACAGCTCACCGACAATGAACCAGGGCGTGGATCTTCTTCTTGTAGGCAAGTCTGGCAGCGGTAAAAGCGCTGTAGGAAACAGCATTCTAGAATCACGTGACTTCACCACCCACTCCAGGGGCTACTACGTGGAGACGTCGCCGCTAGCCAGGTCTTGCTCATACAAAGGTCGTCACGTGACTGTGGTCGATGGGTTCAACCTGTGCGAGGGCGACATCCATACCACGCTTAGTGATAAGATCAACTCCGCGAAGAATGCTTTAAAGCTGGGACACGGTGGTTTCACGGCGCTTGTGCTGGTGTTGAAGTTTGGGGAGCGGCGTGAAGAAGACCCGTTGGAAGTGGCGACAGCAGCGAAGGTGATGTTCGGTGAAAATGTTTTGGTGGATTTCGGTGTTTGCGTCATCACCCGAGGGGATGATTTGAAGCACGTGGTAGAGGAAGAGAACGAGGGGTACCACACGTTCGAGGGCTGGTGCCGGAAACAGACAGGGCACATGAGGGAAGTTCTCGACCAGTGCCGGAATAGATGCGTCTTGTTTGATAACCGCACGGCGGAACGTTCAGAAATGTGTGAACAGAGACGGAAGCTTTTTGAAATGGTGGAAGTTATGTCCGCGCAGAATAAAAAGCGGTATGTGATGGATGATTTCAAACGTTTGCATCATGTTGCAGGCGGGTCGGATGAGAAGACAAGAGAAGGGGTGCGTGATTTTGATGAAAAGATTGAAGACTTAGAGAAAAATTTAAATTTCCTAGTGGAAAATGGTGATAACGATAAACGTCGATACAAGGATTTGATGTCTGAGATAAATATTCTTCACGATACCATTTTACGGCACGTGTCTGAAAAATCGACAAAAAAGAATCTGGTCGATAAGTTGCAAAAATTGAATGAACAAGTCAGTTTTTATGCTGATCTTAAATGTCTTTCGGGAGTAGATAAATCGAAAGTTCTAGAAGAAGCAGCGGCAAAAGTATCTAACAGAGATGAAGTTTATTCCTCACCACAGCCAAATGGTCAGTTGGAAGGAAATCGCCAGCAGAGGTTGACACAACAATCGGACGAGGACACAGATTCAGAGGATGAAGACCATGACGACACCGTGGGACAACCCACATATGTAAGTAATGTAAGATTTGTTTACTGAGTTATCTGCCTTAAATAGGTTTTCATTTCTTCAATGATGTATTTTTTAGTTATTTACCCAGAGCTTACATTATGTAGGATCTACTTAATGAATTATCCGCCCAAAACTTTTTTTTCAAAATAATGTATTTTTGAAATATCTGCCCTAAACTAGTTTCATATTCTCGAACACTTTTTCCAATGAAAAATGATATTAAAATTAGAGAATTTTAAATTATATATTTTTTTCCGTTTAATATTAATAGACTTTGTACAAATAATATTTCACATGATTAGCTAAAATAGCAATATAATTTATTTAAAGTCTATATACTGTATAGCTCATGCATTCAGTAGGTTTTTAAAAAGTTGTATCTGTAATAACTGGATTCAACTTGATGTGATTCATTAACCTATTTCTACCACTAAGCAACTTAGTCCAGAAATTATTTACACATTTTCCAATTTGACATTAAAAATAAAAAAATAAAAACATTTTTTTTAGAAAAAGAAAACTTGAAGAAGATGCATATTTAGTTTTACTTTTTAAAAAAAAAATCTTTTTTATCTTTCGTTGCGTTTTCGGGTTAACGATTTTAAATAATTTTTTTCTGTTACAGAGAGATCCAGGCGCTGCAGACAGCATCAAACTCCTACTGCTAGGGCGGACAGGGAACGGGAAAAGTGCAACAGGCAATTCGATCCTGGGTAAAGCAGCTTTTAAAAGTTCATCCAACACGTCCTCGGTAACTCAGCAGATCGCTGTTGGCAGTACCACGGTAGATGGCGTGGTCGTCAACGTTGTGGACGGGCCGGGCGTGGACGACACGGACAAAGACGCGGGCGATGATCTGGAGGAGATGATCGCGGCCATAGAAGAAGCTCTCAAGTTGTGCGACTACGGGTTCTCCGCGCTGCTGATTGTGCTCAAGTTTGGCTTACGTTTCACGCGACAGGAGAGCGAGGCCGTCAAGATGATTAGATCGATATTAGGACGCGATGTGATCCGGAAATACGGCGTCTGTGTCGTCACGCATGGGGACTGGTTCCAGAATGAAATGGAAGACGGCGACGAGAAGGTAGATTTCTCAGACTGGTGTAGACAGCAGAAAGGAGATATCCAAACTTTATTTGAAGAGTGTAGGTACAGATGCGTCCTATTCGATAATAAAACAAAAAGCGACGCGGTCCAGAAAGAACAATTCCATTCGCTCATGTCATTTGTTAAACCCCTGAAAAAATACTCGAGAGAAGAATTTGTGGGCGCTGGAAAAGATTTAGATGAGTTAAGTTTAGAGTTCGCCGCCACACATTTGGAAAAGCAGACGCAAGATTACTTGAACCGCATCAGAGAGGAAGTTAAAAAAACGGAAGAGGATTTTCCCCGGAATAAAGAATTTTATTTTGAAAAAATGGAAGCTTTGATAAAAGACCTTCAAGAACATAAACAAGCAATTAACGAGCTTGGCAACTGTACAAAAATAGAATATCTTTCAAACATGATTTATGTGTTGGAGTTGGAGATTTCTTCCAAGCTGAAAAGATATCGTTTGGAATCGGGGATGGCAAACCTTCAAACTCTACAAATGTCACAACAAGCTAGCCAGAGAATATATCCTGAGCTTGCAACTGTGTCTGACGTAATGGCCGGAAGTGACGAAATAAGACCATCAGCCTCTACTCCATACACGATTCCCTACTCAGCGACAACCAACGAGCTAGACTCTGGGGACTGGGAGTTCGAGAAACACATTGAAGAGCAGCTGGGCGCTATACGGTCAGACCTCAAGTACGTGAGTAGGGACAAGACCCGTCCAGATTTTAGACAAAACCTAGACAGACTGAGACAGCTGACCGACTCAACTCTCGACCTCGTAAATGAAAGAAGCAAGCACGGAACTAAATTTGATGGCATCATTGCCCAGATCTACGATCTTCAAGAAGAAATGGACATGCGCCAACGGACCAACGCCATGGTTAAACCTGAACCTAAAGGGGCATACGAGTCTTGTAGACGGGACTTTCCGAAACCAAGACGGGAATTTCCGAAACCAACACAATCGAAGCACTACACTGAGAAAAAACCCGGACAAATCAAGAAGAGGTGGAACCAAATAAAAACCCAGTACAAGAAAATAAAAAATTGTATGAAAAAGAAATTGAATGATTTTAATAGACAAAGCACGCTTAAATACCATCACTATTATTGATAATCTTTGCGATTTTCATTTTTTTCCAACACTAATTAATAATTTCTATTTTATTTTTAAAATATAGTTTTTAAAATGCATAAATAACGTGTATGACTGTGAAATAACACCTGAACTGAAGCGCCCAGAAGACAGGGGCGGAACTACAGTGCCGCCAGACCCCGCAATGCGGGGGGGCCCACACCGATTGGGGGCCCAAAAATCCTGGCTAAATTATTTTAAAAAAAAATATTTAAAAAAATTAGGTGGGGTCGAGTTATCTTTCTTCTACAGTTACAAACAAACATGATAGTCGGCAAACGTCTTTGAGAAAAATGCACAGACTATAGCTCGAGAGACCGCCAGACATATAGACAGGGGCGTAGCGTGGGGGGGGGCGGGGGGTGCGGACCGCACCGGGTGACACCATTTAGGGGGGTGACACCAAGGCAAAAAATAGCAAAATATATAGAGAAAAACTCGAGGGGGGGGGGTGCAAATCGAAAGTTTGAGGGGGGGGGGTGCAAATCGAAAACTTGAGGGGGGGGTGCAAATCGAAAATTTGAAAGTTTGTCCCTGGGAAGGGTCTCTATGCCTCTGGGGGGGTGACACCATTAAGTGCCGCACCGGGTGACACCCGACCTCGCTACGCCACTGCATATAGACAACTTCAAAGACGTAGCCTACCGTTCTTTTTTAGTGGCGTCGATTAGGAGAACAAAAAAGCATTTTTATATTGTTTACATTACTAAAATACATATCTATGATTGTGTGTTTAAACTACTGGCCTGAATTCTACAAAAAATATAATTATTTATTTCGATCTCATACATTTATAATTGTGTTCATTTTTACTTTAACAACTGTATCAATAAACTTGTAAAAGTTTAAGTTATTTCCCTTCAGCGAAGCATCTGAAATTTGACTGTGTCGGCACGCTTTGAAAATCGGGCTGGGGAAATGTTGCGGCGACTATCCTGGTCTTCTAGACCAGGGGTCTCCAAACTACGGCCCGCGGGCCAGATGCGGCCCGCGAGGTACACTCATCCGGCCCGCGGAGATCTTTTTGTTCACGGAAAAAAATGTTTCTTAGAAGTGGCTGAGGAACTTTGCCCAGAAAATTGGAAAATGTAGCTTTGGGTGCAAATACAATTGCCCTCCGTGTTGCAGAAATTGATGAAAACATTGTGACTTAAATAGTGAAAACTGCTAACAAGTTTCGCAATTTTTCAATTGCAATGGATAATCGAGTTGTTCCATGTGTTTGGAACAAGTACAGGGCAACAACTTGGCGCACTTTCAGCAGTGCAAGGTCTTCATGGCTGAAGCAACAGCTGAGTTCCCCACATCATTTGCATGCGAGATCATCAAAGACCTCCAGCTGCAGTTTCAGTAGCGGTTTTCTGACTAGGATTAAAAGTCAAACGAAGTGAGACTGTTTCGAAACCCATTTGAAGAAAATGTAACCAGTTGCCCAGATGAACTGCAGATGGAGGTCAATGAATTGCAAGTAAATGACTTCATTAGAGGCAAGTTAAAAAAAATGGAGGGTGGATTTTTGTGTTTGCCCAAGGAGAACATATTTGGACCTCGAGTGTGTTTTTGGCCCCCGACAGTGTTTCTTTCAGACTTTTTTGTCCTGGAGGGGTGGGGGAAGGGTTGCATTTAAAATGAATTTACATTTCTATATAAATTATCGTTGTGGGGGGGGGGGGGGCACGGGGGACACCGCCACCCAATAGAGATGCCAGAAACTCTGGCCCCCGAAGTGATATTTGATAGTTAATGCGGCCCTCGGACTGAAAAGTTTGGAGACCCCTGTTCTAGACGACCGGAAAAAGTCGACACTATTGATGTAGATGTTTATCGGCGCTTTCTTGTCCCCTTCCCTTGAACCTTCCACACTCTCCCCCCCCCCCCCTCATCCCTACCCCTCACCTCTACCCCTCACCACACCCTTACTGTTACAATAAAATGTAATGCATAGATTAACGAACCGTCTATGAACTACTGAACTGTAAACTGAAGACTTCTGCACACTAGTCAGTAGTTGTTCATTTACCTGATGAACAGGGGCGAAACTACAGTCCCGCCAGACCCCGCAATGCGCGGGGGGGGGGAGGAGGTGGGGGCAGGTCGTTTAGGGGCCCACGGCTGACGGCTGACCAAAATTATTATTTTTTAAAATTTTGAATTTAATTTTCGTGCATTTTTGCCTTAATATTCGGTATGTAAAAGAAAAACACTGTAGCTGCGGTACGATTATCTTTATTTTACAGTCACTATACCACGCTCTTCCGCAAAAGATAAAATCCATTACACAAACTACAGTGTAAAATATAGGCAACTCTTCAAATTTGAATGACTTCTTTGACTCGTTGCCCCCCCCCCCCCTTTAATAGCTAAATAGAGGACACGTAACTGTTTGACCGATCCTCCAAAGTGTACTGTGGCGGATGGGGAAGGGGATGGGGACCAAAAAGGGGGTTAAAAAATTGTCGACAATTTTTTTTACATATTTAAAACAGTTATTTATAATTGTATTTTTTAACCATCGTCAAGGCCGAGTTCTATTTCCCTACAATCAAACACACGCTGACGCCGGCAAAATTCTTTTAAAAAAAACAACAAAGTCCATAGCACGAAAAGCCGCTATGTTTGAAGTGGGCTTTCATGATGCGCGGTTCCCGAAATTCATTGTACATTTTTCAATGTTAATATGTGTTTGTGATAGTGGTTGAATTTGTATCCTATACTATCTTGCATCCTACAAATAATCAAAAATAATATAATACTAGAAACTTCAGTTTTATATAGGTTTACTTGTTTTTGCTTTTACAATAAATATCATAGTAAACTTTTAAGGCTTATACTTGGAATTATCTCCCCTGAGTAAGTTTTACAATGGGCGATGCTGACGTACATAGATCAAGGCGTTTTGTTGTCTCTTTCAAGTTTTTTCCCGAGCCGACCCCTATCCCATCCCTCTTTCTCAACCTCACAAGTATCGAGGAGATAAATGTATCGTTTATGAACCACTTTCTAACCGTACGATTCACCACTTAAGCACATTTTGTCAGACACTAGACAGCACTAAAGTCTAGATCTAGAATCTAGTCAACAGATATTAATTTACTTTTCATAGTATTAGGCACAACTAATTCACAAAACAGGGCAGGTAAGATTATTTTTTATATAATTATTTAGAAATTAATTACAACGTTTAGAATTAATTGAACATTACTAATAGTCAATTACTATTTATAAATCATTGAGGTGGGGGTGTGTGAGGGTCTGGCTTTTTGTTAGTCGCCTCCCCCCTCCCCTAAATCAGAAGGTTATACAACGCGTGACCTGGCCACATACAGTTGTACACGTGAAAAACATTTTTCTGTCTATTATGAATTATGCATTACTGCATCATTCACCCAATCGCCATGAAAACTTAGGAAGCTGTTAAGTACAGCCCCGCAAAGGTTTCTGTCATAGGCCTGACATTTGTACATATTGGAGTGGGGACTCCTAACGGAGATATGTGATTTAGCGCCCCGTGATCCTGCATAAGCGGATGAGGTTACTACTTGAATCAACCGGCGGCAGTGTCATCCTGAGCGCATCACATATGAGCAAGTTGGCCCCCACAGACAGTCGTTTAAAAGTTCCCACAACACTAGGAATAAGTCTCGCTACAACACTCGATGACTAAATCTAATTAGGTGTCGCAACAATGTTTCTTCCAGGGTAGACTGTTTTCGGGGGAGGGGAGGGGGGGGGGGGAGCTCTGCCGGAAGAAACAATGTGTTGCACCCATCACCCGTGCAGTAATGTAACCGGTAGCTCCAAGAGCCCCGTGACTCCCCTGACACCTGGGCCGTCGCCGAGGGACTTACGGCATGCCTTGGTGTGTCTAGTTGGTAGTGTGGACAAATCCGCGCACTAAGATCCAAGAAATGAACTGCCGACATCGTTAACATTTAATTCAACTTCTGGAAAACAGCGTACAGGGTTGGTAACGTTTTGATGAAAGCCTATAAAAATCGGCGTCAGTTTGGTGTGTTGGACTAGATTTAGAGAGTCCGTGCTTCTCACTTGGAAAACTGAAAGTGGCCAGCACGTGTTGGAAAACCTCTGATTTATTCGTGTACCAGATGGAAATTTATATATATATATATATATATATATATATATATATATATATATATATATATATATATATATATATATATATATATATATATATATGGCATATATATATATATATATATATATATATATATATATATATATATATATATATAGGGGCCCAAAACAAATTCTGCGGGGGGGCCTTTTTTTTCTAGTTCCGCCACTGCCAGAAGAATAAAAAAAAATGCCCAGAAACATGTGCTGGCAGAGAAAGAATGAGAAGTCAACTTTTTAGTTTAGAAAGCTCCTCCTAGTCAGTGGTCAACAATACCGCAGAACACACGGACTTGGCAGACTTCTGTTTACAATTCAGTGTCCAGTTGTGTAAGCGTGTACGTGTGTTCCGCTGTATTGGAAGAGATATATCTTGCTTCCGGTCATCTACGGGGACAAACGCATTTATAACGACGTCACACACCTGGGAAAAGGGGGCGGGGGCTGGAGTAGAACTTTAATGACGTGTGAAAAGGAGAAAGAAAGGTCGGCGCATCATTTATTTTAGAGGACAATAGTTATGAACATGTAAATTTATATTGGAATTAATTAACCCTTATTGTGACTAGTGTGGTGGCGGGTAAAAATCATGACGTCATTTATGGACGAACTTATAAACTTCTATTTAGACCTTAAAGGGCTAGTTGGGCAGGTAAGCGCATGGTTGACCCGAAAGTTCATAAGGTCGTTAGCCAAGGACAGCAGGAGAGAAATATAGGTTGATAAATAATAATTGTGAAGGTAACGCACTATCCCTTGGGTCCATCGGCTATGTGGAGAGCAGTGTTTTTTCCAGACTTTTTTCTTCAGGGGGGGGGGGGGGCGGGGCGGACACTGTTAAAAATTTAATTTCGTTCGGGGGGGGGGGGGGGGTGGCTCTGTTTCCCTCCCCCCCCCCCCCGAAGAGATGCCTGGAAGAAACTGGTGGAGGGGGGTTGATTCAAGGTTCTTCTCATCTTGCTGTTCAGGCCTTGAACTTAGATTGCTAAGTCCTAATCATCCAGGGAGCCATATTATTAAATAAATAAGACGTGTTTTTAAACCAAAAGTGTAAATTTCTTCAAACAATATTAGGTTTCCTACTTGTATAACCTGTAGCCTACTTGTCAAAGCCAGTATCACAATTTAACGGAGATGTAACTTTAAATGTGTTACTTTCTTGTTGTGTTTAATATACAAACAAATTTTGAATCCCTTTTAGTCCTACAATTGTATAAATTGTAGCTATGTATATTTTCTTTTATTAATTGACATATTCAAAAAATATTTAACATAAAGATTTAATTAAGTATGGCATGTTTACCACTTAAGATCCCATACATATAAGCTAAACTGGCATCTATATAAAGTGTATGTATGTGCAGAACTGAAAATACCTAGATTGTAGAATTTTTTTTGTATTCTAGACCAACAAATAAATGAAAAAAACTTCTCTTTCTGAACTTGTTTTTTTGTTTTAATTTACCACTTTGGATTCTTCAGCAAAGAAATACTTCGACGTTGAAGAATCATAAAACAACAATATAGAAAAATAAATAGTTATCAAACCTGTGTGATCTACAACCACAGGTATTACACAGCTTGTTTACCTGAACAAGTCTGGAATAATCACAGCAAAAAATCCCCCTTGAACAATCATAGCTTTAAGCAAATCAAATTTAAAGTTCACACATTTCATGTATCAATGTACGGATTTCACACAATAAAATAATAATGTACAAAGTAGCCTGAAGATTATGCAAATGATAATTAGAATCAGCTAGACAAATGTTTTTTTAGGGAAACAAGTTTTATACAAATGTAAGCCTTAAACCTACTTCACAGAATATTTTTACAAACTGGAATATATAGGCTGCTTATATGCAAATAAAAATAATATCTTTGAGGAATGTAAACAATATTATGATGATCTGTATGTTATTTTTAAAGACAAATTTAAAAAACATTTTCATTTATTCTTTTTAGAAGATTAACTGCCTCAATATTAATTATGAAATTGACATAAAATAATACATTTCTCTATTTTTTTGTAAAAATAATCATCTAGCAAATATTAATTTGTAAAACTATAATACTAAAGGTCTTAATAAATAATACATCAGCATTTAATAATTATACCAAACTATTGTTGACAGATTATCTGTGTTTTCACTATCTAAATTCTTGGTTACTATTCACTCTTATAACTGAGCTAGCTGAGATAATTAAAGTAAAAGGAAAGCAACAGAATTTTAAAATGTGGTATGTGTATCTGGTAAAGAAATGAATAATAAACAGCTGTCCATTTTTAAAAGTAACATTTTGAGTAAGATGTATTGCTTTGAATTTATTGATAAAAAATGATTGTTAAAATAAAATTACCAAAAAATTCTAAAAAAATTGCTTCTCACAAGTTGAATACTTGAAAAAGATTGCTTTTTAATTAAAATAAATTTCTAAACAAAAGAATTCTAAAAATCCTATTATGGTAAATCTAAAAGATCATCTCGCTTGTAAAGTTCTTCAGTAACACTGAATATTGTATTGAGTTCATGGATTAAATCATTTATTCCTTGCATTCCTGCTTCATTATCTTCCACTCCCATTTTTTTCAACAAATCTTGCCGTGTTGGTAGCATGTACATAGCAACGTGTACAGCTTTCCTAATGAGCCAAGGGTGGTGTCTAGATAAGGTGTCATCATAGGCTGCACTGGCAGCTGATGAAAATTTAACACTATTGTCAGTATTCTTCAATTTCTGTAGGAATGCTGAAATAAACTCTAAAGCACGATGAAGTCTCAAAAGTGTTCTTGCACCAGAAGGATGTTTTTTACTTTTAGTAAGGTCTTTAGAAACTTCAAATTGAAGCATAGATTGAACTGATTTGTATTGTTCTGCATTTTCAGATTTGCGAAAATCCCGTAAAATTCCTATCTTTTCTTCAACATCTGAAGTGACAAAACTGAATATAGTGCCAAAAAGTCGAAACAATCTGTAACAGAAAACATAGACATTTTTAAAAAATTCCTAGGTCATAATATTTTTAACAAATTAATTAGCCTAATAGTTCTTTTTTTAAGGAAAAATTTTAGGAGAATCAGAAGTACTCAAAGTGTTGAGATTTGTCATTATTATTATCATTAATCACCAGCATAATAGCTTACCAAACTGCAAGCTTATAAGTTAAATACCATAATTATAAATCTAGATCATTGATTGTGGTGGTACACGCTTCTTAGAGAAAATTTAAACTGTAGGCTAGGTATTTTATTTTTATTTGGGTCAGAATTGTGGGTGTAAAACCTCATAAATATTTTCTTGCATAGAAAGGAAGATCATACATTTTTTAAGGAATCTTGCACTAAACTAAAAACCAAAATGTGCAGGCGTCATTTCCATTATATAGTTCTTTAGTACTACCTATACAAGGAACAAAAGTCCACCATAGGCAATGCCAAAATTTGTTAAAAACTAGAGTAATTAAAATTGTCTAAAATCTATAATTCTAAAACTAGAAGACTAGAGACAGAGATGTGTGTTTTGTGTCGAGTGAAGTGCTTTAGTTACTTGTGTTTAGATTTCATTTCTTAAAATAAATATTAGATCTCTGGAATACTAGACTAGATATCTAGAACTGGAATTTTAGAAATAGAATCTAAACACTAGATCTAGATCTAAAGTTATAAAGTACTAGAAAAGTAGAAACTACTGGATCTAGATCTAGATAACAATTGGTAACATCGAGACTCTAGAGACTCCTAGAACTAGTTTCTAGACATCTAGGTTCTAGATTATAACAACTAGGATTCCAGATTAGAAAAATAATAAAATAACAGCTTCTTGTGAATAATCTAGTTCTAGATCTAGAATAGAACAGTTCTTATAATGTAATCTAGATTCTAGTTTTAGATTTTAGAATCTAGATTAAGAAAGATTTACTTCAAGACTCTACTCTAGATTTAAATTAATAGGTAACCTATCGTTTTAGGTACGTAAAATCGCCCGCAACTTGTAATGTGAAAAACAGGTGACTCCTTAAATTTTAAAAATTATTTCACATTTTGAGGAGGATTTATGTTTTTGAAAATACAAACATGTTTCCTTGTTTCATTTATTATTTATGTACCTGTTTTTAAACAATTGATTAAAACTTTTCTGTAATAAATGAAGACTAGCGATGTTTCCAACAGATGCAACCATGCTCATTTACTATAGCAGCGATCTTATTTGTTTTAATTTTTATAAGCTTATAGCGCGAGATTCATGGGGAAGCCACTCTATTTTACAAATGGCTGCTGTTTATATAGCAAATCTTGCTCTCAGACACTGCTGTTTAAAGTTAATTTCTGGCCTATATCGATATATTAATTTAGCCATTGATTTAGGTTTATTATTCATTTATCTATAATATTTGACACAAACATATGACATTATATACTTCTATTAAAGCCTTGACAATGAGGTAACGTTTTCGTACATTAATAGCCGCGGCGAATTTTAGACGTACCCAAAACGATAGATTACCGATTAATAATATTCTAGTGACTAAGTCAGAAGTCTAGTGATTTAGTCAACTCTAGTCTAGACTAGACTAGATTCTAGATCTGAATGCAATTAAATTTTAGTTAAAGTTGCTTACTTGCACAGCTCTTCATAAGCATCAATATAGCAATCAAGGTTTATTACATCATCTACTGTTCTGCAAGATATAAACAGTTTATAAACTCTAAGGGCATCAAATCCGTCTTTGGTATGAGAAGCCATCTTGACGCTGACTGTAGCTACGGACTAAATATTAAAAATTACTCAGGCTTACTGCAACCGTTTACTAGTTTTAAAAAGTGTATTGGAAAATAAATTTTAACGATTTAATCATAAATTATCGACTATTTTAACTATTTATGGGGTACATAAATTAAAAATGAGTGGGGGTTTTAAAATCGCAACAAAATGTAGATACCTAATAGAATTTACATTGAATGTACAAACAATCATATAATATACACCTAGACTCTAGATCTAGATCTAGATCTATTACTATATAGATCTACTATATTCAAAAGTTTGTAGAGGTTGGAATGGTTTATAATTTTGTTACTCGGTTTGTTTATACTAATTTTTAGAGTGGCGGCGTAAAGCAATCTTGTATTCAGTGCAAGCTGTACATTATATATTTAATAACGCTGAATTGAATAATCTTTATCGCTAGGGATGGGACAGGAAATCAGTGTTTATTCTAGACTCTTTTCTGCGAGGGTGAGGGGGCGGACTAAAATTTCCGAGAGGGTGGACACGGTTAAAAGTATATATTTTCTATATAGTGTATATAGATTCCATTTCATTCGGGGGAGGGGTTGGTATGTGAAAAGTAAGGGTATCTAAGGAAATATATAATATAAAGCCTCCCTCAAATATTTCTTTAAAATAGTCATTGAACCCCCGCACCACACACACACACACACACACACACACACATGATACACACAGATCGTCAAATACTGTCCCATGCTATAAAAGCGTGATACCATTTATGAGCGCGCAAGGATGAACGGGACTAAATTATAAAGTTATTATAGTTATTTTAAGGGGACTGTATAAGGCCTTTTCGAGGGGGTGGGGGGGGGGGATTCAATATAAATGAAACTTTATTTACAAGCGAACCACTATTTTATATGTGCACAATCTTTAGACGGGGGGGAAAACAGCACACATGATAGACCTATGTTTGGGAGAAGAAATCTTAGCATGATGTGCACTTTATTTAACGCGTGTGTTGAAAACTCACTCAGAACTCGTGAGAAACAATTTCTCAAAGCGTAGATTTTTGTTTTTACACTTCTTTTTCATTTATTTTCTTTTTTTTTTATTTTAAAATGAAAGAAACGTAATCAGCTTAAATTATCCGTCAAACAACAAAATATGTAGGCTATCCGAAAAAATAAAATTTTAAACTTAAAAAAAAAAAAAAACTTACCGTAAATCCTCGACTCTCTACCAAAGCAGTTCTAGTTATGTCCGGGTGTTGTATTTGGGATTCAGCCTTGCTTGGCTGTTTCAAGAAAATCAATTACACGTTGTATAATACTATAAGTTGGGGGAGGGGGGTCTGTGGGAGTTGTATGCAGTGTTTCTTCCAGGGGGGGGGGGGGGGCACCTGATATTTTCGAGGGGCGGACTAAGTATTTCGGTAAAAGTATATGTTTTCTATATAAATGTCATTTCGTTCGGAGGGGGGGGGGGTGGCTGTTTCAAGAAATTTAATTACAGGGCATATAATAATTATATAAGCTGGGGTGGAGTCTGTTTAACGTTGTGTAGGCATACTCATGGGCGACGCTATTGCCATGGTGACAACACACTGTGTCACAATCCTCTGTCGTTTTAAGCAGTAGCGGAGTTGGGGAGGGGGTAAACTAGTGAGGCAGCCGCCCCTAGGCCCCACTCTTAAAGCGTTCAGAGATTAGAGCGATTGCTCGTATATCAATCCTGTTATCGCCCGTTTTAAAAAAAATATTTTAGTAATCTGATATTTAAATTTTTATGAATAATATATTATCTAATTAAATAAAAAAAAATTATATATTCTGGAACGTATGAACGGAATCGCAGATTTAGAAGTAGGTTACAATTGAGTTACATACGCTGGATCAGGAAGAAGATCCCCAGGGGAAATATATAGTAGACCAGGAAATCGTAAGAGTGACCACAGAAAACTAATCAAGGAACCAGTTTCCAGAAAATCTCAATTAGCCGGGTCATCAGGCAAATTACAATTACAATTCAAATAACATAATACGTATTTGACCAGTAGAGAATTAATGGAGGGGGGGGGGGGGGCAGAGGCGTAGCGACCCTTCCCGGCGCCCGGGGACAAACTTGCGATTTGCACCCCCCCCCTCAAGATTTCGATTGGCACCCCCCCCCCCCCCCTCAAATTTTCGATTTGCACCCCCCTCAAGCTTTCATTTTTATTTTTCCAACCCATTTTGGCGCCCCCTAAAGTCGGCGCCCGGGGACATATGTCCCCCTCCGCCCCCCTCGCTACGCTACTGGGGGGGGGGGTAATGTGTGCGTGTGTAGAAAAGGGGGGGGGGGGGCTACTCAATTCACTGCATAATTTCGCTTGGTCTCCATGTAGGCCAATACAGTTTCGTTGACTTCAGCTATTTAAAGAAATCTTCAGATTGGATATCAAAGCTTCCTGTCAAAACTGTGCAGAAATAAAGAAAGGTTGTGTCTAGGTATAGCTTGAGAGCCCCGTCTAATGATCGTAACGATAACGTCATGTGCAGTGGCGGATTAAGGGGGGTGCTGAAAGGGCTGCAGCTACGGGCCCCCGATTTTTAGGGGCCCCCAAATTTACCATCTAATTGTAACTAGTAAAGGCATAAAAAAAAACCCAAAAAAAAACCCCATCTACATTGGTCAGAATACAATAGGATATCACATTACGTTTTTTCCCCCAAATTTACATACCAGGTACAAGGGGGGTGGAGGCAAAGGGAGGGTGGGGGGGGGGGGGAGGGCTCACTTAATCGACCCATCGCCATCCACCTCAGGTAAAACAATCTCCAGGCGAGTAGTTCTCTTCCCTGCACATAACAACTAGGTGTGAAACTAATGTCTTCCTATAAAATACAGCATTGTTCAAGTTGAGATGGGGAAGGGGGGGGGGGGTAACTCACTAGGCCTAACATCAACCGTGGCCTCAGTTGTAACAATAAACAATGGCGAACTTTGAACTTTAAGTTTTTTTCCAATTTAATTAAACTGTGAACTCTGCCCGACCCGTTAGGGTAATGGAAACTGGAACCTCTTTTGTTGGGCTTGGCATATTGCCCCTCCCCCCCCCCCCACACACACACTTTCGGCATGTCCCCAAACTATATCTTCCTCCCCGAAATCCCCCATTTCGGAATTACATTTGTTGAGTCAGTCATTCTTTTGGATTTATTCGCACGGAGTCTACTCAAGAGTTCAAAATTTTTCTTGATTTCCAACCCTCCACCATTATCCAGGCTTCAGACTTTTCAGATAGACAAAGTAATCCTAAAGGCTCGTTCATCAGACCTATATGTCAAAAAATTGCTTGCTGGAGAAAAAACGACAATTTGCAATTTCAGCAAAGAGCCGGACTTTTAATTAGATTCAACCTTGTTTTTTTTTAAAATTCTATAGAATATGTCTCGTAACTATCCTAGTGGAGCAAAAAAAACGCGCATTATCGGTGAAAAAAAGAAAGATCGAAGCTGAGCTTGCTGAAAAAACTACAAAACTGCTCTCCTTTTTCAAACCAACTTCGAGTACCAAGGAAAATAGTCACGTAGAAAAGGGATCTGCAATTGAATCAGACACCGCCGGGGTAAAAGATGTAGAGCAGGCTCCTACTTTAAAACAATGTGATTTGAAAGATGATACAACAAAACCCCTTGAAGATAGTCATGCTGTATACGACCTTCATTTTTGGCCAGAGCGGGAAAAGATGTCAGAGGCATTTAGAAACTATTGGATTCAACGTGGTACCACACCATGCCAAAACAAAAACGGGGACTTTAAAGAATCGGTCATACAGTTAGAAAGAGAGTCACAACGTCGGTTCTGCACCATTTCTTTATTCACACGTGTCCATGCACGAACAGGAGAAAAATTTGAAAGAAATTGGTTGTGTTATTCCAAAACAAGCGGGTGTGTTTATTGTTTTGTATGTAAGCTGATGTCACCTATAACTAACAAAATGACATCAGGGTTCAAACAATGGAAAAGTGCCCATGAAGTGCTATCTAGGCATGAAAATTCCAAACTACACATTGATTCATTGGCAGCGCTGTGTTCACGAAAATCTACTGGTCAGATTGACATGAAACTTGTTACGCAATATGAAAGTGAAATTCAGTATTGGAGACAAGTACTTCACAGAATCGTGAGTGTGGTACAGTTTCTTTGTATTCGTGGTCTTCCGTTCCGGGGCGGAACTGAAGAGGTTGGTTCTCCAAACAATGGGAATTATCTTGGGTTGCTGGAGCTGTTAAGTCAGTACGATACCTTTCTCGCAGAACATATGCGGATACACGCCAACAAAGGACGTGGACATACATCCTACATATCTTCAACAATATGTGAGGAGATGATTGAACTTATGGGTCAAAAGGTTTTGTCTGTAATTGTAGATGAAGTAAAGACAGCGAAATATTTTTCTATATCTGTAGATTCGACTCCAGATGTTTCACATGTTGATCAACTCACAATCATTATTCGCTATGTACAAGACACCGGACCTATTGAGCGCTTCTTAAAATTTGTACCAATGTTTTCACACACTGGTTCGGAAATAGCTAATTTAATACTAACATTTTTGGAAGAAAATGGAATTGACATAAAAAATTGTCGCGGTCAATCATATGACAACGCGTCCAACATGAGCGGCAAGTATAACGGCGTTCAGGCTAAAATCCGGGAGAAGTGTGACGTAGCATTGTATGTACCGTGCACAGCACATTCACTCAATTTAGTTGGGAACTGCGCAGCTGAGTGCTGCCCCACGTCAGTTGGGTTTTTTAATCTCCTTCAGAGCCTTTACTCTTGGCTTTCTGCATCTACCCATCGTTGGCATATACACAACAAGCACATGAATGGATTGCCTGTTGCTAAAGCTTTGTCGGAAACCAGATGGTCCGCTCGACATGATGCTGTTAAGGCTTTAAATAGAGGGTATAAGGAAAATATATCGGCTTTGGAGGAGTTAGCAGCCGATGAAAATCAACCTCTTAAATGTAGAGCTGAAGCTGAAGGATATCTTAAAAGTTTACAAAAACTAGAAACAGTAATATTATTGGAGGTATGGGATACAATTTTAGAGAGATTGCAAAAAACAAATGTATCTCTTCAAGAAAAAGGTTTATCTCTTAATACAGCAGTTAATTTGTTAAAATCTGTTCTCCTTTTTATTGAAAGTCAACGTAATGAATTCGCTAGCTTCGAATCAAAATGAAAAATTAAATGTGAAGTCAAAGACTACACATATTCCAACAGACGACCACTAAAGAGGAAGCGACAATTTGACGAAAGCAAAGTTTCAGAAATGCAACTTTCTCCTAGAGAAAAATTTAAGACTGAAGTATTCATCTGTGTGATCGACCACCTAACTACAGCTCTACATCATCGCTTAGATTCCTATAAAACTGTTCAAGAAATGTTCGATTTCTTCAGTGACCTGACCAACCTTAGCACTGGTGACATTACAGGAGCAGCTACAAAACTAATCAACAAATATCCCGATGATTTTGAAGAATGTTTTTCGTCGGAGTTGATTCAATTCGCCGAGCTGTTTAAATCAATTCATGGGGGAAAAGAGCAAAACGTCTACAATGATAGCATTGAATTAGAAATGTTGATGTTTTTAAATAGATTCAAGTGCATTCAGAGCTTTTCAAATGTGCACATTGCTCTTCGAATTTATCTGTGTATGATGACGTCTAACTGCAGTGGAGAGCGCTCATTTTCCAAAATGAAAAAGATTAAAAGCGATCTTAGAAGCACTATGGGACAGCAGAGACTTAGTATGCTCTCACTTATGAGCATAGAAAATGACATTGTAAGCTCACTAAATTATACAGAACTAATAGAAGAGTTTGCTATCAGGAAAGCTCGAAAATGTTCCCTATAAAAGTTACTTGGTCTTTAGTTCTAAATAAAAATAACTGTAATAAATGTAAGTATACATAATTTCTTTTGCATTAGTAAATAAATAATTGTCACTTTAAATGCTCTTAAGTCTCAATGTAATTTAACATTACATTTAATGTAACATTTTTTGTATATGCCATGGCTTCTGTTAACATTTAGCTTATTCCATTCAACCTTTATTTTTTGGAAAGGCCTCTGTTTTGTGATGTCATTATATAAACTACATATATATATATATATATATATATATATATATATATATATATATATATATATATATATATATATATAGTTTAGGGGGCCCCGGAAAAAGTTTCAGCCAGGGGCCCCGCAGAAGCTTAATCCGCCCCTGGTCATGTGCAAACCTAGGTTTTAACTGATTAAAAAAAATTCTGTGGGACAATCGGGTATGTGATAAACTGGGGTAAACCTTCGTGAAAGACATACATGGGGCATTGATACAGCTATCGCCTGTATTTCTTCCAGACTTTTTTTCACGGGGGGGGGGGGGGAGGGGGAAGGGCGTAGACTGGTCAAAGTATATATTTTTAATATAAATTCTTTTTTTGTAGGGGGGGGGGGAGGGGCAGAGATCCCCGAAAGAAAGTCTGGCTATCGCCCTTACATAGCAGAGGCATGTATTTGCTGCCCAAGTGTTTCTTTCATACATGTTTATCTTCGTGGCGGAAGGAATGAAACTTTCGGGGGAGGGGAGAGGGTTTGGCACGACTTACAATTTCCGGGGGGGGGGGGTAGCTTAGCTGGTTGAAGTATATATTTTGAATATAAATTATATTTTGTTAAAGAGATAACTGAAAGAAACTCTTTTGCTGCCTGGTGTAGACCCCCCCCCCCCCAAAAAAAATACACAAATTTGAATTATTTGATCCCCTTTACAGAGATTTGATTATCAGCGTGTCACACAGACGTTACATTGGCACTAGAAAGTTTGACCAGTTAAGGATTATACTTCTATTTCTATTTTATTTAAAAACTAAATTCAAAAATATTTTAAAAGTATTCTTCTTGTTATAAATTAAGCTTAAAAATTACCGCAAAACTAGGGACCGTAACTCTCGAACTAATTTTATCCTCTTTTCTCTCAATTCGTTTCAGGCAGTAGATGACAGCGACACAGCCCAGTGCTACCAGGAGAAGTGCCACCACTTTTCGTCTGCGAGTGATAATCCCAAGAGGAATGAACTCTTGTCGAAACATTCTTCGTCATCAATTATTTATAGCATAGTGACGTTAGTGGGATACCATCAGTCTGAAAAAGACGGTATTTGTAAGAATATAATATGAATCTGACGTAAGACTTTAAAAGTGCTATTGTCACTAAGTATCGTAATCGGAAGGTAAATAGGGCTCTAGGGCCCCGCTATTGCCGGTGCCCACTAATATATATATATATATATATATATATATATATATATATATATATATATATATATATATATATATGTGTGTGTGTGTGAGTGTGTGTTTGTGCGTGTGTGTGAATATCCTACCACCCCCCCCCCCTTTTGTTTGGACAAAATCCTGTCTACGCCACTGTACATACATAAATACACGCACGTAGAACTACATGTACCAATGTTTCTTTCAGGCATCTCTACTGCCGCCTTCCCCTTCCCCCCAAGCACATCCACCAACAGCCCACCCGGACGAAATAGAAAAATATATGACTTATACTTACATTGTAAATATATCATTTAAACAGTGTTCTACTCCCCCTTCACCAAAGTGCCCCCGCTTTCCCTATCCCCCCCCCCCCTTCCCACCGCGCTTTCCTCCCTAGAAAAACATGTTCGAAAGAAACCCTTGCATGTACACATACACATAGACTAACACACACACCATATGTGTATATATATATATATATATATATATATATATATATATATATATATATATATATATATATATATATATATATATATGTAGACTATATATAAAGTCTTTATATAAGCTCTATATTTATTGATATCACTACCTACTTCTCTTTGGTCTTTATAGTTGTAAACTTATCCACTATTTTCGAACAATTTTCCGTAATTTCCGATACCTACGACTCTCTGATGACACTTGGCATGCACTTACTGTTATCATTAGACTAGATTCGCTGTGCTGATTAACGCACTGCATTGTTAGCTATTACGTTTGTATGAAGACACTAATGTCTAAAGTGCAATCGTATTTACAACAACAGTCTAATTAACGTAGGTGTTAACTGTTATCACTGAAATGAGATTGTAAGCAACATTGAATGAGGTTCGTTTGAGACGTAAAAAAAAAGTTGGCCAAGCTCTATTTCATTCAATAAATTGTAGACTAATTTTATCGAAGGTATTGTGTACAGATTATATAACACAAGGGGAATGGGATTGTAGGACGGTTGCCAAGAATTGTATTATAGTGTCTTTATCACTTAATAAAAAAAATTGTAATTCGTTTAATGTTGTAAAAATCCTGCTACTTGTTTTCTTTTTAGGCCAAAAGTTACAGGGATTATATGTTCTATATGGTCTGCTAGAAGTATAACGATTTAGGCATTACGTGCGGGGTCGTATATTGATGATGTCACGCTGTTTTGTCGATTTACTACAGCCCTTCCCCCCCCCCCGAACGAAATGGAATCTGAGGTAGATTGTAATGACTGACGAGAAGCCGCGTTGGTTGTTAACAGTCTTTTATTTATGTACAGACGCCATCATGCAAAGAGAGCGGAAGTGGCGAGAGAGAACTATATATAGATAACAACATGTAAGGGACATCACTCAAGATAACAATATAAATATAATACTAATACAGAGAGTGAGTTCCCTTGACCTCACAATTAACTCAATCTATTACAGAATCTATATAAAAAATATATACCTTTACCAGTGTCCGCCCCCTCCCCCCGAAAAATTTAGTCCGCTCCCCCCCCCCCAAATGTGAAGTGACCCCCCCCCCCGGAAAAAAAGTCTGAAAGAAACACTGTTGTAACATCTAGTCACATATTGTCAGAACGCACCCCCACCACACACACACTTTCCGCCCCCCCCCCCCCCCCACCTCGAATCATAATCACATAATAAAATCACACATTTTTAATTACTATTATTCTGTTTTGAAAAAAAGCGGTTTCTTTCTAGTCTTTCTAAAATGTTTGGCTTAGTTTTTTTTTTTAAAAGGGCAAAGGCCAAACTTTGTTCGCTCCCCTCCCTCCTCGTCACTAAAGTTCGACATCTATTCTCCGAGGAGTGTGACGTCATCTATTTACACCCCCCCCCCCCCCCCCAATAACCAGTAACATTAGTAGCTTCTTGTATAATGTTCTACACCGATTCTCTGTAGTTCTCTACTGTTCTGTGGAAGGGGAGAGTAGAGTGAGTGGCGCCAATAGGTAGGATGTCCCCCGGTGGAGTTAATCCAGGGTGTCATGAGTAGGCCTATAATCTATATCCACCAACGATATACATAAACCATAGGCAATTTAGTGTCACCCCCACCTCCCGGATGGTGACCCTGAACCTAATGAGGTAAATAACTATTAAAGTAACTAGAGAAAACAGTCTTTCCATTAAAATTTGCTACTTTTTGTTTTAACACCCCCACCCCCCAGCTTTGACGCTACTGGGTAGGGTGGTGGTTTTCAGATTTGGTATATCATTATTATATCATATGTGTGTTGCTTGTGCTCTATGAAATTAGCTTAATGATGCGAATCTTTTAAATTTATAATAAATGTTAAGCATCTTTTATTCAAAATTTAAATTAGATTTGCTTTATTTATTTTTATCCTAATTTGAAAAGGTAACATATCTTATTACAAACGTCAATCTTTTGTTTTTACCACTTAAGACGATCCGATTTTATCTTCCAAAAATGTCAATACCTTAGGTCCCATATTCTTAAAAATAGCGACCCCAGTATTTGTTTATTTATTTATGTATCAGTAATTGTAATTTATTTAAAGAAAAGAGGCACTTTTATTTTATTCTTTTTAGTGCGTAGGCAAATTTATCATTATTATAGGATAGGTCTTACTAGATTCTTGAACTACTTCTTTATGAATATGACACGATGTTTTTTTGCGTAGGCCTATGTATATTTTTATGCAGAGGCGTAGCTAGGGGGGGGCGGGGGGGGGGGCGGCCGCCCCGGGCGCCGACCCTATGGGGGCGCCAAAAGGGGTGGGAAAAATTTTTTAAAGCTGATTTTATGCTGCAGTTTTGAATTATAAACTGTCTAAGTTAAGAAATATAATGGCTACACGCATTTACATACTGATTTAACTGTTTTCTATCTTGATTTCTTAATGTAAAACATATACTCTTAAGAAACAGTGACCGGCAAAACCGCTTTGAAGCTTTTCCTAGATGGGGGGGGGGGCGCTTTTTCGAGACTTAAAACGGAAGAATTTACACTAGATTGTTGAGTCGATAAACGTTACCACTATTAAAAGAAACCAATTGTATTAAAACGTATTGTACGATTGTTGAACTGTAAAATACGTTAGTGACTTTTATCAAGATGGTGCAGGGGGGCGCTTTTAGGCTAAATAAAATAGCAAAATTACACAGGATTCTGAGTAAACAACCTTTAGCTCTCAGAAAGAAACGAATTGTACTGTGCATTGTATAATTGTGTAACATTTTTTAAAAAAAAGTTAGTTACGTTAAAAACCGCTCTACAAACTTTGTCCAAGATGGTTGTGATGAGTGTGTGTGGGGGTGGGGGGGGGCGCTTTTTTCGCTAACAAAAATCGCAAGTATTTGTACTGGATTGGTGAGTAGATAACTCTCTTAACACTTAGTAAAGAAACCAAGTGTATTAACGCGTAATGTACAATTTCAATAGCCAGTTTTGTTAAAAAAAAAGACGCGACTAGTTCTTTGTAAGATTCTTACGATTCTCTCAACTTCAACGTGAGAGATCAGATACTTTTGATCAGTGTTTCTTCCAGACTTTTTTCTCCGGGGGGGCACTTGAAATCTTCGGGGGGAGGGGGGAGGCGGTAAACTTTCTTCGGGGGGGGGGCGGACACTGTTAAAAGTATATATTTTCTATATATAAATTATATAAATTTCATTTCGTTCGGGGGGGCGTAAAAATTTTTCCGGGGGGCTTCGCCCCCCCGAAAAGATGCCTGGAAGAAACTGTGTGCGAGAAGGCAGGGCAAATCTGCGAAATCCAAGACTACGAGCTGTTAACATCCGTTGGATTCCAGTTTGTTTTCTCTAGCTTGTTTTGTCATACCATCAACCAATCAACGAAATACCCATGTCGTATTCCAATGTGAACAATAAATATTTCTGATAACTTCTTCTTGTATGTCACTTGTGTGTCCTTACTCTAACAAACTTCGAATCCAATATGTACCATATCACAACAGAGATCGTTCAAAACTAGAACATAAAAGGCTGGTCTAAACATATTAGCGTTAGCTACAAACTACCCTCTAACACAGATCAGGCTTATTTTTTTTTACTGACATTACTAATCTTTCGCAAAAAAAGTTAAACGCATCTTAATGGGAATTAAATTGTCGTAAAGTTTTAAGGAATGAAAATCATACAATGTAATTATTAAACCTTGTCCGGACTGTAGCATACACGCTTACACACACGCTTACACACACAAATACACTCTTACCCACACACAAGCTTATATATAAACACACTATCACACACACATAATTATACACACACACACACACACACACACACACACACACATATATATATATATATATATATATATATATATATATATATATATATATATATATATATATATATATATATATATATATATATATAAGCGGGGGGGGGGGCGCCAAATTGAAAGTTCGCCCCGGGCGCCGGGAAGGGTCGCTACGCCTCTGTTTTTATGTAGGCCTTAGGCCCAAGAGCCTCCAGCCTTATTTCGGTTCCGTTTATTTCCGGTCGGAGTTTTTTCTAAACCACGTGTGATCAACAAAAGAGAGTGTGCTGACTGCTGTTGTAGTCAACATTACTCTTTTACTACCGAGTACGGGTAGATTTTGGTTTAGAAAAATCTAGATCCAGACAGGTAGAATCTTGTTAGTTGTGTTTATTTTATTTGGTGTTGTGATCTTATTTTGTTATCATTTAGTTTCATAGACCTAACTCGGCTAACTGATAAAATCCAGAAGTCCCACAAGATAGTTAGTCTCATATAAATTCAATTTTCTTCAAATTATAAAAAAAATAGCATATAATTGTAGAGCTTTAAAAATGCAATCCAACAGTACCAATTTTATTAATTTAGCATAATCGGTTGATTAAATATAATTTTTTTAGTGTCGCAAATAAAATATATATAGAAACGCGACCAAAAACGCAGGTAAAAAGTCAAATTCACTTGTTTTAAAGCTAGTAAGCAAGAAAAGACATGATTCTTTCTTACTATTGAAATCAGTTTGCTTATACCTAGATCTACATTTTTTTACACCAAGGTGAAAGTAAATAGTTTATATAAATTTATAAAATGCCATTTATATAATTTATTGTATGTTTTGTGATGAATTTTCAATTGGAAAATACCGCATTTGGAAGCAGAAAGGTAAATTCTACAGAACAGATGTTGTTTGGAATGTTAGAGATTATAAATCTAGGCCTATATCAAAATGTTTGTTTAATAAAATTCAATTAGAGTCCACCCATTTCTGATGGGTACCTGATATACATTGGGGAAATTAAAGGTAAAAAGTAAAGGCGGCTGTGAATATCGCTGACCACACGGACAATCACTTCATATGCTGAGGTCAAGAAACATGAACTCTACTTCATCTGCCAAATAGATTGCTTTGACTACAAAGGAATCTTAATTAATGTTTACAGGGGCCTAATAAAATTTAGTTATGTTTGTAAAAACATTAGGCCTAAGCTTTAAAAACTTATTTTGGTCAATATCGGAAAAAATAAAAATCTTTTCGACTAAATGGGTTGAAAAAAGCTTTGAATTTGTTTCATTGTTTGTTATTATATCTTGTAGTATTTAGAATTGAAGCTTTCTTTCTTAATTACAAGTTGTATTAATTTCAAACCTTAATGTAATTTCTTTTTAATTCAGTATTAGCCTAAATGTAAGGTAGGCTACAGAATTCAGATATTACCTATGGTTTTGTGATTTTTATATGTTTATAACATTTGTGTTTATGAAATGACCTAATGAAGTTATCAAGCAAACTGTTTTATTATTATTTTAATAGGCCTGCAAGTTATAAGTACAAAATATAGATATCTAATCACTAGATCTAGGTCTAAGTTTAAGAAAAAACTACCAAAAGGGTTTGAAATACTTAAATATAGTACTAAAAGTAGATTCTAGCTATGTTTTGAAAAAAAAATATCTTAAACTGGAGACATTCAATTTAAAAGTCATTATAAAAACTCCACGATCTAGATTTATTTCTAGATCTCTAGAAGGAATACAGATTTAGAGGCTTTCCCATCAGTATCAATGTACTATCTTAGCTATGTGGGAGGTCAGTATGAGTTCACTGGGAAAAAAATCGGATCTGCCGTAGGGGGGTGGGTTTAGTGCGCAAATGCTCCTGACCGATTGCCAAAAGGTATAGAAATTCTAAAGATACATTTTAAAAGAAAAATGGACAGCTGAACTGCAGTTATCAAAATATCTGTGTAAGTAGAAGTATAAATAATCATATTTTACACAAATATAGCTGTCTTTTGCTAAATCTAGCTCAATTTCCACGAAAATCGCATCCGGTCGCAATAATTTTTATATCAGCTTGTCGGCCATTCAACGATCTATCACGTGTAGCAGACGCCAAACAGATTTACCCGTATGGTATTGCGCGAATGCTATTTTTAGCAACAGTGCCGAGACGCGATCGAAAAAAACGAACTAGAAAGTGGCCATAAAAAAGCGGGTCAGGGGAGGTAATTCAACTCGCGTTATGAGACTAGCTACACAAGACTAACAAAAAAAAAACTATTTAAAAAATTTCAAGTAGTGACTTCTGTCTGACTTATGAGTTTCAACTTCTCGACTCTAGTCTTAGGAGGCTTTATTAAATATTATTAATTAATTAGTGGTAATCTATCGTTTTGGGTACGTAAAATCGCCCGCGACTTGTAATGTGAAAACCAGGTGACTCCTTAAATTTTAATAATTATTTCACATTTTGAGGAGGATTTAAAATTTATATTTTTTAAAATACAAAAATGTTTGACAAGAACGCTCTAGAGAAAAGACAAGCAATTTAAAAACATGCATAGTAATTCGAAAAACGAAGTATGACGTCGACACATTTAGCATAGAGTTGAAAATAATCTCACAGTAATATAATGACGTCATTGATTCTGGCGTAAACATTGAATAAAGAGGAAATGTTGTCTAATCTAAGTGGTTTGCGTGAAGAGTTTCTTGCATACAATTCTTCGGGGAGGGGCGAAGCCCCACCCCCCGCGTAAGAACGTCTGAGCCCCTCCCCCTCCCCAACTCAAAAGAAATTTCTTCATCGATACTCTATAATAAAATTACCGCCTAATTAATGTGTCTAATCTAAAAAGTGGTTTTCTCGCAATTTCTTTAATGCAATTCTTCGCGTAGTGGCTAAGCGCGACACCAGTGTTTCTTTCAGACTTTTTCCTCCCCGGAGAGGGGTGGGGTACTTGAAATTTTCGGGGGCGGGGGTAGAATTTTCGGGGAGGGGGCGGACACTGGAAAAAGTATATAATTATATTTTGCTGAATGGGACGGTAGACATGTTTTTTTGGGGGGTGGTGGGGGTGGTGTGTGTGTGGGGGGGGGGGTGGTTTGGTTTTAGTTTAGAGAAAAGAGACAGCACTATCAACCTAGCGCCCGGTGTATCCTTCCTCAACGGGCCATTTTTCTCGTATCGATATATTTAGCCATTGATTTAGGTTTATTATTCATTTATCTATAATATTTGATACAAACATATGACAACATACTCCTATTAAAGCCTTGACAATGAGGTAACGTTTTCGTACATTAATAGCCGCGGGCGATTTTACGTACCCAAAACGATAGATTACCAATTAGTCTTACTAATGACTTAGGTCTTAGCTAGATTCTAGAATAGTCTCTAGAGTCTAGACTGACTAGATTTTATAGAAGTAGATTCTAGATCTATAGATCTAGATCTACATTCTAGATTTCTACAACTAACAAAGATTTCAGTTAAAATTTAAAATTATTAAATTATCAATACTCCAAACTCCAATCCATCATCGACCATCAATCAACAAGAGAGCTAAAATAAATAATTAAAAACAGGTGAATTTTTATACCGGTGTCCAATAATGGAATCTTTAAAAAAAGGGGTGTTCAGCTGCTTCTGGTAACTATTCTGATGCCTATAATATAATACACACATGGCTGACGAATGTCATGATAACCCTGTCCCTAACCTAAACTCTGGTCCTATCATATGCCTAACTCTAATAAGCCCTAATTTTAATTTACTAATTTCGAAACATAATGTTAGTCGAGATTACAACACAACTAACAACCCAACACACCTATATTATAATATTAATATTATGGATGTCGGATGAGTAGGCCTATATTATCGGACACCGGTATCTATAATCATTATGATTTAGAAAGTAAGAATAGGCCTAGGAGATCCAGACTAAAGTAAGTCTAGGACTCTAGTAGTTAGACTACTGTCTAATAATCTAAGTAAAGGCCTAGATCTAGTAATTGCCATGTTAATCTCTTAGGACAAAAAATAGTCTTAAATGTTTAGACTAGTATAATATTGATAGTCTAAGTATAGTAGTATAACTACAGGGCTGATAGGGTAGTATAGAGTCCTAGTAATAGGCTTAAAAATGTTCAGAACAATAGGCCTATTGACTGCATATTTGATTTTAGGCATATGGCTTAAGGTTTATAATAGCTTAGCTAACTTTTAACTTAATTTTGGTAGTTTCATTTTCTCTAATTTCATTTCACAATATTTATTGGAAAAGCAGCTTTTGCTTATTACTACTTGATTTGGGCTCATCCATTTATGATGTCTATTATTAGGCCTAAATATTAAAAGTAGACTCAAGAGTAGACCCCTATAGTGAGAAAATAAGGGGTTTGCTTTTTTGTCAAATTGTAGATATATTATTTTAATGATTTTCTCATTACCAGCCAAAAACTCCTGCAAGGTATTAAACATTGTGTGGAAAAAAGTTTGCCCAGGGCCCTACTTAAAGTATTATTATGCAGTATTTACTGAGGGTTTTTTTTTTTTTTTGTAATGCCATCTAAATTTTACATGCAGAATTTCAGTTTTACGTTTGTTTAAATTGTAAGACTTTGATTTTAAATTCAACATTCATTCATATATTGTCATCATAAATGCCCTTTAGTGGGTATGGTTTGCAGTTTTATGATTTTCACAATTGTGAAATTCAGACAAGTGTCTTGGGTACACTGTTGATATATCCACAGAAAACACTGCTTTTGTTATAAATTGATGACTAGTTATTGTCTACACAAAGTTAAATCCTGATCACTTATCAATTTATCAACATTAATGACGCCAAAAACTGGGGTATTAATAACCAGCTATGTATTTTAAATGTATTGCAAATCATTACCGGACCATTTTCACTTTAGGGCAAAATGAATTTTTGTTCAAACAAATTGCACAACTTCTAAATTTTTTAAGGTTGGTTTTCTTTTTTCAGGTACTATACCTACATATACCTTGTGTTATTTAATCCATCAGTAAGCATATTTTTATTACGCATTATATGTTTTCCCCTTAGAAAAAAAATGAATAGCATGGACAGTATCAAAGAAGGATGGTTCAGTGAATTTAGTCCTCTGTGGCCAGGACAGTCTATGTCCTTGGAGGTTGAGAAAGTGTTGCATCATGAAAAAACAAATTATCAAGATATTTTTGTATTTAAAAGGTAACTTTCATTTTAGTGTAGTTTATTTCTTTCAGTATGACCTAAATTGTTAATTTAAATATGAATGGTATATAGCATGTTTTAATATTTAAATAATGACAAAATACTGACCTGCCTGTGTGTGATATCACCATTAGAAATCTTGACACACCACTTTTTTGTTTGTAATGTTAAGTGTTTAATTTACATTGACCTTTACTCTCTGTATAAATAGCGAAGCTATTGTGGTAAATGTTGCTGTTGTCTCTCAACGACTACTTGTAAAATGATGACATAGCCATTGAGTTACTTGACCCCTGCTCAGCTGATTGTTCAGGTTATTAGGTCAGCTATACAGTTACCACAGAGTTTCCTTATCTTGTGATAACCTAAACTTGCTTAAACTCAACTTACTACAATAGGAGGTGCATAACTTGCAGTGATGATATTCATGTTTTTCTATGTGGGCCTCTTTCTTTATAGTAACATAGTATAACAGCATGTTTTAGAATTAATTAATGTGGGTCTCTATAATAAACTTATTAGGAAAAGTAATGTAAACATTAGATGATGCATCTATCCCCTAAACTCTAGTTATCATAAAATTAAATTGACATGAAATTTTAAAAATGCATTATTCCTATGAAGCTTAAAAATTTTCTTTCCCTAAGTTACTATAGTATTAAAGAAATTACCTTAACTGCTATAATTTAACCATTTATATAGCTTTGCTAGTACATAAAAAAATATCCACTTACTTAGATAAATAGCCCACTCGTTGATAACTCTTGATGTCCCATAATCTCTTGTATTAAATAGCACAGTGAATGTTATACATTCACTAAATGTTATCAGTTATAAACTGTTTTAAATAGTTTTGACATAATGACCAAAAGTATTTTAAATAGGCCAGTTTCAAAGAGTACTAAAGCTTAGATTGATAACTTAAAAGTTTCAGCACCTTTGTCCTGTTTACAGCGTAGGAAAGGTCATCAGTACCAGCCTAGCATGACAACGAAGCTGTTAAATAAATTTTGGTTATACGATAATTTAATGTGGTTGCAGGGTTGCAGTTCCCTAAACTAGATATTATACCATGATGGTGAAATTTCAGATCTGGTAATGGGTTTCGATAATTAATAGAGAGTAGGAAGGGGGCTCTTTAATTCAGCTTTCAGTTGGAAGGAATGTGACTTACCATATTTGTATTTCTTTAAAATGTGATTTTTAAAAAGTACATCAATTTTTATTTGAATGATGATTTTAGAGGGGAAGAAAAAATGTTGTTTTAAAGTAGGATGGGGGCCTGACTTTTTTGTTAGTTTATATAACGGTAATTAAGTAAAAGCTGAAACTGATGTTATTCATGCCAAATAGAATAATTTGTTTCCAAAATACTAATACTTTTGAAATTTCAGTTACTAGTTCATTTTTTGGTTTGTAAAAAGCTTTGAAGCATTTTATTTACATATTATATGTGGATAGAATAAATCCCCCTTTGTTTACATTTGCAGTAAAACTTTTGGAAATGTCCTGGTGTTGGATGGTGTTATTCAATGTACAGAAAAAGATGAATTCTCATACCAGGAAATGTTGGCACACTTGCCATTGTGTTCACATAAAAACCCTAAAAAGGTAATTCCAACAATACATTTTTCAATATCCATATCACAATTTCAATTAAATTTTTTTTGCATGCTACTTGATTTCCTAGGTTATTAAATTTTTCCAACTCCATTGTTCTTTTCTGATTATTATGCTTTGTTCATGGCTAAGTTGTTCTTGAGAATAATATATGTGCCATGGCTACCAAACGATTCATTAAGCTCCTATTGTGCCACAGAGATCTTTAGAATGCATAGTTAATTTTTTTTCTTTTGTTTAGGTATTGATTATTGGCGGTGGTGATGGTGGAGTGGCCAGAGAAGTGTTGAAGCATGAATGTGTTGAAGAGGTTCACATGTGCGAGATAGATCAGGTCAGCTTTATGTTACTGTTAGTTGGCATTAATGTAAATGAACATTTTTATTCTTGTCTGGTCATTTTTTAATGCTTTTTGTTTATGTTGTCTGGCTAACATTGAGATACTCAAGTCCAATGTAACTGTGTTAACAAGGTACACATTATATTTTAAATGTTATAGGAAAGCTTACTGCAAAATCAGTTCCTTCTTCTTCTTTTCTTCTTCTTCGTTCTTAATTATTAGTGTTGAAGGGGATCGAGATTTATCTGCCAGTGCGTTTGAACTCGAGACTTTGTTCAAATTTATCAACCATGAGCTTTTTGCCGACTCGACCACGCCTCCAACACAATTAAGCGTTACGTGTCAACTGGTTTTGCGCCATTGAGGCCATTGACTCCGATTTCAGACTGCTTTTCTTTTTGGATTTGCTTCCATAGCCTTTGTCCAACCAAGAACAAACTACAAGGCAGCAGTTGTTTAATTTTGGAGTTGTCTCTCCTAGAAGAGTTGCTGTCCCCAGCTAACGAGCCTCATCTGCCCGGGGGGTTCTAACTCGAGACTTTTCGGTTTAGCAACCTTGAGCTTTACTGACTCGACCACGCTGACCGCAATATAATCAGTTCCAATATAAACAACTTTTTTTAGTAGTACTTAACCCTATTTCAGATTTCTCAAAACAAAAAGCATTGAATTTATTTTTAGCTTGATTTCTCTGAATTTCTTTGTCAATTACAAGAAATAGATGTGTTAAAACAACATATGAATGAGTGTTTGCACTGAATTGTAAACATGCTCAGAATTATTTCTGTGTGTTACCTAAGCAATTATTTAAGCTGAAAATTTCCTTATCAGCTAGTTTAATTTGATTGTTATACGTCACAACTGTCCTGCTTTGTTTTTGTTTTTCTATTGTAACATTTTCAGGTGTATACGTTTTTGTCCTGGTAATATACATTGAACAGTATGTGGTATTGGTGTACAAACTCATTAATTTAATTTTGTTGGTCGGGTTAAACACAGGGAGTGATTGATGCAAGCAAGAAGTATCTGCCTGGTATGGCTGTCAGTTTTTCTGACCCAAGACTTAACCTCCACATCATGGATGGCTTTGAGTACATGGGTCAACACCAGGGGGAGTTTGATATTATCATCACAGATTCCAGTGACCCTATAGGTTAGTGGTTGGGTTTTTCTCTCATTACAACATATATATTTCTTTGACAGCTATTCTTTTGTAATTAGTTAACCTTTTGGTGTATCTGCAATCAATTATTTATAAAGAAATACTTTTTATGAAGGTCATTTTAAGAAGTAAAATGATTAAACAGCTATACTTAATGAGTAAATAACTTTTAATGCCATGTGTCAGTATAGAAAAATCTGTTTTAGCTCTGACTCTATTTTACCTCTTAAATAGTTATAGATAGTTCAAAGAATGTATCTTATTTTATTTTAAATTTAAAATTCATCCATTATCACTTGCTAAAAATATATCTTACTTATCCACTTTTCCTTAGGACCTGCATCATCCTTATTTCAAAAACAGTACTATGAACTCATGAAAAAAGCATTGAAACCTGGTGGTATTGTTTGCAGTCAAGGTACCTTTGTATTTTCTTTTGTTATTGCTGTTTTTCTTACTATTTTACATTCTTGTATACAGAGTATAGAGTAAGTATTATAATCGTGCACAAAAATCACATGAACTGTTGATAGTTTTCATTGTTTTACACCTCAGTATTTAATCATATATTGAGTGAAGGGGACTGATTTTAATCGGGCAAAATTCTAAGTACAGAATTATCAAAATCTCAGCATTTTACGGGTTGTCGAGTTGGAAATTCTGCAATCTTGTTTGTGTGTCTGTGAATACGATAACTTGGGTGCCATTAAAGCTAGGTTTATGAAATTTCATATATAAGTATTATGTCAAATTTGTTGTTCTGTTTCAACTTTTCAGCAATTTCCTATAACTGGCAGTAGAAGTTATTCTACTTTTGGTTTTTCAAAAGCCTATAGCATTGTTTCTGATAGATTGATGAAATTTCACATATGAGTAAAAGATCTAATTCTCTGTTTTCTATCAAATTTTGAGTAATTTCTGTCATTGGGAAGTAGTACTTTACCCTATTTCAGATTTCTCAAAAACGCATGTGAATTTATTTTTAACGACTCCTTTCTTAATAAAGTACTGATTAATTGCTGATCACTTGGTGCGCAATTGTTTTTTTCTATGAGATTCTATTCTATTTTAAAAAGTTAAGTAGGCCCTATCTAAAAACTGATTAAAAAGCATGTCTATATCCTGATTTGCCATCCCCTGTAGTGATATAAGAATATTCAAGAAAGTTTAGGGGGGGGGGGGGATCACTCCCACTTCATGGTATATAAAGTATTGTAATCATGCAAGAAATAAAAAAATCTTGATTCAGACAAAAAGTTCTAGATTTGTCTCTTGTTTTTCTTCATGCACAATAGCTTGAGTACAGTTTCAGCTAGGTGGATGAAATTTCATTCATAAGTATTAGTATACTCTGGATTCTTTTGAATGATATCTGGTTACCAGAAGTGGTACTTTTCTCAGAAAACTTTCAGAATTTTATATAAAATTTTCAAAAAGCAATATATTCAAAATCTTTTTGCAGCTATGTGTTTTAGATAAACAAGAAATTTTTATCACTAAGTAATTTTTTTATAGCTAGTTCCACTGGAAGTGCCATTCTAACCCGTACTATTTTTTAAGAATATTTGAGCTATGAGAATGTTTAGGGAAGCTCACTTCCTCTTAGTTTGCTTCATGATTCAGTTATTAGTACCAACTAAAGAATTTCTAAAAATGAAAAAATTGTTTATTTTTATCTAGGTGAGTGCATGTGGATTCACATGGAGCTAATAAAAAGTATGCTGGATTTCTGTGTCACCTTGTATCCATCTGTTTCTTATGCTTATACATCCATTCCTACATATCCATGTGGACAAATTGGATTTGTTTTGTGCAGCTTAGATCCAGTAAGTTACTTATTAAAATTTGAAAACAATAATGTTTAAAAGGTTCTTGGGCATCTCTTTCTCTCTCTCTACACCCCCCCTCCCCAAATTGTATTTAAAATGTTATTAGTAAAGTGGGGCAAAATTTGTAAAATTTCTTACAGTTCTTAGAGGTAGGAAATACCTAAACAGTCATACAAATAAATGGGATTCTTTGTTTCTTTTCCTCCAATATTTTCTTCATTACAGGATGTAGACTTTGAAAATCCAGTTCGATCATTTTCTACAGATGAGTTGGATAAACTAGGCATGAAATATTATAATTCTGACATGCACAAGTCATCCTTCAAATTACCAGAATTTGCAAAAAAGGTTAATTTTATTACTGTTTTATTACCATTCAAGTAGAAGTAATATTAATTTAATTTTATATTACTTAATTACATCTGCAAACCTTCAAAGCTCAGTATATTACTTGTTGAGTAATTTAATATAATGACCCTTAGAGTTATATGCAAATGAATTTTATTCCTTTGCTTTTATTTTATCATTGATATCACTTAGGTGTTAGCATTTTGTTTAATCAAATGCTGTGGCCTTTAATTTACAGATGTTTTTCTTTCACATCTTTAGGTATTGAGGTACAAGAGTTCAAGCAATGGGTGTTAATCATTACTATTTTTAGTTTGAGAGTGCTTTCTGTACTGCAACTAAAGCAGACTACTGTTCAGCCATTCCTGCAAATCTAGAATTATCATTATCTATTTAAAAAATTTATTCTTGCTAGTATATCAGATAATATAAGAAGGCTTATATGTGTTAAGCTAGATATTTTTTGGAATGTAATTTTAAAAAATGTGTGAATCCTTTCCGGGGTTTAATGCCATTTTAAAAAGTGTTGAAAACATCACTTGCTGTGTCGCTTGATAGCTTTTCAGTTTGACACTGTTAGTGTCGTTTTTAAAATTCTCTAATTAAATCAGTAGTACTTATTTTAAAATAATAAAAATAACTTCAGCATCTTTCGGCTGGTTGAGATAACACAATTTGATCTGTTTGTTTTTTTTTTAATCGCAATTTAATTATGTTTGCCTTTTTATATTTGTTTCTAATGAAGCTGAAGGAAAAGTGGCATTAGCATACTTATGTTCTTAATTTAACAACAAAGTTACTTGTGAAAAAGGGATCTGTAACAAAATTATTATTCTATGCATGTTTTTTTTTTTCATTTTATTAGATAGTCAAATTTAAAGCATATTTTTCTAATCAATAATTTTAGTTGAGAAGCATAATTATACTCCAGTTAATTGTTAAAAAATTTAAATTTTACATTTCTATATATATAATATTAGAAAGGCATTAACTTTATTTGATTTATAACCCATGCATTTATTGGTAAAATGATCTGTAAATAGTGAATAATGTATTAAACATAAAGTTAGGAGGAAAATTAAAAAAAAACAGTAAGCAAAGAATTGGCTGAAAATGTTAATTATCTTTTATTCTACTTGAGGATGTGATGGATTTAAAAACAAAACAAGAACATATCTGGCAGTGTTGTGAAATTTGTGTACATATTTTAATTTGTTGAATTTACAAGAGTCAATTTTGTTTCTTGTTTACTATGTTAATGAGAAGTGGTTCATAAATTCTTTTTTAATTGGTTTTTTACACCTTTTTTAAGGTATCAAATTTGAAATTTGGTTTCATTTACCTTGATTGAAAATTTTAAAACAACTATTTGTTATCACTTTATTTTTTATGTTGAAAATTAACTTTAGCAATTTTTACAATTTTGCATTTATGTTTTTAACTTAATATTCTTTTTATCCAAAATGAAATGGAATTACACTATTTTTACTTCTCATCTGGCATCTAAATTAATTAGTAAATTTTGCTTCCTTGAACAACTATAAACATAGATTTCTAATACTAGCAGATTCTTTTCTCATGTGAACCATGTTTAATTTAATATCAGCTTAATAGAAATACCCAAAATACTACTGAAAAAAAAAACTAAATATATAGCTGGCTAACTTTATTAGTAATTTACAAGTTTTACTATTCCAAACATTTGTATATAACTGTCGTTCTGTTGTTAGTGATGAGTTTCATTTTTTTATTAGCAACTTTAACACTTCATAACTATTTTAAATGTCAGTAATTTATTAATTATGAAGAAATTTTGTTTTGGATTGGGTATTATAAAGTTATCTTAAAAACCTGTAAAAAAAATACAAGACTGAGTAAATTTCAGTTGAAGTTTAAATTTACAATTATTAATACAATGATTATCTGTATTTTAATGTGCTTAATTTGGCCTAAACAGAGTTGGATTGTTTGAAAAACTACAAATGTATACAAATACTACTACAGGTGTAGAATGTATGTTATTACTTTTTTTTGTAACAAATTCTGGTGCATTTTAATCCATTTACATCCTGATTCTAGTCACATGCCTTCCTCCATTCTTTACGATTGGGGGGCTGCATGGAGCAGTCTTTACTTCTTAAAATACCAAAAATAGTGCACACATGTCCTGAATGATTTTTTTTTGTGTTGATGTTATTTTAAAAAGTATTCATCAAATTTAGGTGTTCATTAATATTGTTTTGCTTCCACTTTTTTTTTAATTACCTAATAACCAGACCTTACCCATGTCAATTACAAATTGACACTTAATTCTCATTAATTTAACCCTAACCATAAGGTCATGCTAGGGTAAGAAAATTATTTTGAGTGATTACACTCTACCATTCTTCATTCAGCTTAACATTCTCAAGACTGTTTAGGCTAACTATAAATAAAATGTAATTTATTTTGTACTATCATTTATAATTCTTGTAATATGGTGGGTTTTTCACTTTGGCTGGTAACTGTATACTATTTATTTTCAAGAGGAGGGTAATCACATTTGGTAAGGGGGAGGAAAGCCCCCCCTCAAAGCTCTATTCACATTGACAGCTTTACAGTTGACTAACTAATTCTTCAAGTATGTATTTTTATCTCAAAAGCTTTGTGGATATCATTAGTAAAACGGCCAGATCTGGTGTAAAAAAATATTTCATTAAGAAGGAATTCATTAAATTTTATAATACATGTACAGGACTAGAAACTTTGATTTTTTTTAAATCACTAATTCATTTATACCAACGCGTTCTGTTTGCAGATGCTCTGTAAAATTTTAGACAATATCTTTTGAGATGAGTATTGCTAAATACAAACTTTATGTCAGTATATGATTTATAAGCAATACTTTTTAAAGATTCTTATCTATTTACGGTTACGGTTAACTATTTATTAGCTTTGAAAGTGTTAGTGTCTGTAAACACAAAAAATTTCTTCAGCATTATAATCAATAATGACAAATTGTTTCAGAATTGTAAAAGTCTAATCTGTACAGTGGGTTTATTTTTTAAATTTACCTCAAAAACATGACCTGCATTACAGTTTTTAAAAACATTTGCTTTGTTAGATATTTTTTTCAGTCAGTATTTCTGCCTGTTTTACATGTTATATTTCTAGACTTTTATATTTTGACTTTTTTGCAAATCATCACTATTTCCAAATAAAAGTTCTATTTAAGTGTAAGTTTAACAAAACATCATTGGTGAGATATTTAATTTAAAGATGTATTTATTCGGGTCAGAGTTTTAAGATTTTAATTACATTATTTACAGAAATATATGAACCGTTTTGACAGCTTGTTAGAAAATTGTTTGGTGCTTTTTCTAATAATCTATAATCCTGCTGGTTTTTTAAATCTTATACAAAGTTTGTAATAGCTGTTCCATAGATGTGCAAATATTATTTATTGTAACTATGTCAAACTTTATATGTGAAAAGAAATGGAAATAAGTTGTCACATTAATTCATGAACATATTAAAGAAAGGCACAATGCTACTGTATGCACTAAAGTAATTGCCAGACTTTTCCATTTTACTGAGTTGTAGCCCTTCCAGAATGGACTTATTATCTTTGCTTTCTGTTACTCTCAAGACTGGGGGTATATTAGTGATAATAAAGAGATGAAGATCTCTCATAAAGATGTTGTCGGATTTCACCAGAGAAATAACTGCATACATAAAATTAAAATAAAATGATATTGGTAATTAAAGGGTGAAGGTTCAAATATGTATTTAATTAGTCTCAATTATGTATATAAGAATTTATTTAAAGATTTCACTTTGTGCACATATTCTTCTGGTCATTGCTTCTCACTTAATTTTCTTCTCAATTTTTAAAATTATTGGCACCCACCTATTAAAATATATTTTGGACTATTTATTTTAAAAAATTAAATAGAATCTGTGTCTTTTTTGTATGTCACTGTTGACAAGCTTCACCATGTTTGCTCAGTATTAACATCTGCTCTACGTCTGCTGCTTCACTTAATCCTCAGGAGTTTGGTAACAAAATAAATAAAAGTTTAGTATAAAATTTATTAAAATTATAAATCTTTTAGAACAGGTATACCCTTGCGTTTTAATGATACTTTCAAAATTGTAAGACAATAGGTTTTCAATATTGTTCTGTTTGACAAATAAATATTGTAATAGAAAAAGCACTTTTCTACCAGATGTTCACTTGTTCTTCAATAATCTGTTACTTTTATCTAACAAACAGTTTTGGGCGTAGGTACATTAAAAAATGTTGAGGACCATTGCTTAAACTAAATAATTATTTATTGAAGGTGTTGTTATTATGCTTGATAAATTATTTTTTGAGTAGCTTGTTTTATAATCTTAAATATTTTTAAATGTCACATTGCAAATTAAAATTATTTTAAAATAATTGCATCACATAATTTTTTTTTATCTTTAGCATAAGAGACTAAATTGAAATTACTAGTCCATTCTTGTACTTATAGATCTATTGCAAAAATAGTAAAGATATACTTTTTGGGTCAGTGGGGCAGGTGAACTAGAGTACACCTGTTTCTGTGACCTTTGCATTAAAGGCATAGTGTGGTCAATTCTATGCCCAGCTGCCTATACTTTCACTAATGTAATCCAGGTACCCATTACAGCTGAGTGGACTCAAGGCGATCGTACAGACTCTAGCCCAGATCAGTACTCAAGACTATATCTTCTAGCTTTCCATTGGATTCCCATTCTAATACCGGTCTAAGTAAATTTACTAGTATTACATTTTTGTGTAAAATGTGAATTAATAATTGACCTAGACCAGTAGTTAGCAGCTCTGAGACACATGAATAAGCATCTACCACTCTTTTTTTATTCACAATTAAAGCTTGTCAATGAGAAAATAATGTACCTCTAACTATTGCTATGGTGTCTCATAATTAAAATAAAACGTGGCACAAAACTATTTTTTAGAGTCATTAATGGTAATATGTTTCTTTAAAAAGTCTTCTTCTTCACCTGTTTCCACTTCAGTGGAGCACAGACCATTCATAACTTCTTTCCAAGTTTTTCTGTCATCTGCTTTTTATTTTTTATTCCTTTCCGACTTCCAATAATTTTTAGGTCTTATTCTATTCCAGGAGCTTTTTTCTTCTTCATGATCCTTGTGGATCCCATGCCTTGTTTGGTAAAACATATAGCTTTGTCCTCAATGCATGTCCTATCTATCTCTACCTTCCTGGGGTGAAAAAGTTTGCTCACCACTTATAAGTTATCTGGACCAAAAATAACAGTCATTTTTCTACCTCCAACAAACACTGCTTAGCTCTTGTGGTGTGGTCTGCTGATAGACTACATTACAGAAAAAAAAAGGATAATATCAAATATCTTTTAATAATGTAAATCCATATAATATAAAACAAATTTGTTGTTGTATGTATCATTTATTGTGTATTCTGCTTTAAACCTATTTCTTCTCTTTCACAGTAAATTTTACTTAAGATTTTTTTTTTAAACAGTGTTTCCTTGTTTGTTGCTTTTTTTTTTTTAAATATGACTTTTAAAAAAATGGAATTTCTAAAATTAAAGTGATGTAAAATAATTGTAAATTTTGCTTTTTTAAAAAAAAACTTTTTTTTTTAGAATTTTGATATGGCTGCAAGTATTTTTAAAACCTGTGAAATGAAATATTTGGTTTAACAAAATATTCTTTTTGAGTAACGATATTCATTTGGTCCATAAAAATATTTATTTTGTGTGCGAAAACGTTAATTTAATTAAAGAAAATATTTATTTGGTGTATGAAAATTGATCTATGAAAATATTTATTTGGTTTAACAAAATATTTATTTGATCTTCGAAAATATTTATTTGGTTTATCAAACTTTAAATCATAATTTAATAATATTTTCTTTTCACCTGTGTCAGGTGTGCTATGTAACAATTAGTTTCCATTCAGGACAGTTGTTGCCCTTTAGTTGTTTTATCACTGTATCACAAGATGGTAACTTTCTAGAAGTGTGTATTAAGTTACTATATTACAGTTATTTATGTTCAAGCTATTTAATGTGTTGTGTTCATTTATTACATGATAGAGGGGTCGAGTCGGTAAAGCAGTAGCGGGGGGGGGGGGGGGACATATGTCCCCGGGCGCCGACCTTAGAGGGCGCCAAAATGGGTTGGAAAAATAAATTGAAAGGTCGAGGATGGTGCAAATCGAAATCTTGAGGGGGGTGCAAATCGAAAAGTTTGTCCCCGGGCGCCGGGAAGGGTCGCTACGCTCATGGTTGCTAAACCGAAAGTCTCTAGTTCGAACCCTCGGGCAGATGAGGCTCGTTAGCTGGGGACAACTCCAAAATCAAACAACTGCTGTCTTGTAGTTTGTTCTATGGAAGCAAACCCAAAAAGAAAAGCAGGCTGAAATCGGAGTCAATGGCCTCAATGGCGCATTACCAGTTGACACGTAATCCTTAATTGTGATGGAAGCATGGTCGAGTCGGCAAAGCTCATGGTTGATAAATTCGAAAAAAGTCTCGAGTTCAAACCCTCTTGCAGATAAGGCTCGATCCCTCCCAACACTAAAAATTAAGAATGAAGAAGAAAAATTACATGATAGCTCTCAATCACTTTGGGTGATTGCTGGGCCATACAGATATCCTCCCAAAGAGGGAAGGGTAAAAAAAAAAATAATTTGACTATTTGAAATAGTTGTGGTCAAGTGTGAAATTGCATCATTTAATGAAACAAGTTACTAGGCCCCTGTAATTTAGATACCGAAGGACGTTACATTTTTTTAAGCAATGTTTACCATAAGTGTTGCTTTTCATCGGAGTTTTTACTTTATGTAATTCTCTATGCCATTGGCACCCCCTCTCTTTTCCCGTATCGTCACAAAAATGTCACAAGGTTCAACCCCCCCCCCCCCCCTCCCCTACTTATACACCTTCAACCTCCAAAAAAAAAGTAACAAAAATTAGCATTTAATTTTTTTTTAATTTAAAAAGATGTTTTTAAAAAACTACGTCATATTTCTTGACAATCACCTATCCACATGGCATCAATTACGGATTACCCCCCACCCCCCACACACACACCTCCCCACTATTACTACGTGTCTGTTAACACGGTTACACAAACAGGTGAAGTGGCTAATCTATGAAATCCCGTTATAATCCGTCAGAGAAAGTAAGATTGACGGTAGTTAAAGACCTGCTGACATGGTGGTAGGGTATGCCTATTCTTAAGTTTGTCAATACACAATTGTAACCGTACAGGGCCTTTCTTTCCCCATAGTGGCGATATCGCTCTTAGATGATCCTGCAAATATAGAAGGAAGGGGTGGATTATTATTTTGAAATTTTCTGTAATAGTTATTTTAAAAAAGTATAATATAAAACATGCTTTATCACACGCAGATCTACTCTCCCCCCCCGTTGCATAGAGAGAAAAAAAACAGACCTTCACATTTCAACACACAACCCTGGCATTGCCAGTGCGGACAGCTGAGCGATTCACCCTTAAAAACAAGAACAAAGGCTGACTGTTTTTACCTGAGGTAACTCGGAAGTGTGAGTATGGGTAGCGGCCACTGAAACATGACCACTTTTCAGTGTCATAGGCGTCGCGAAGAGTGCGTACCGCACCGGGTGACACCATTGAAAAAAATGGCAAAATATATAGAAGAAATATGCTTTTTGCCAGTTCGATAAATGATTAATTAGAGTTAATCCACTATAAA